GCCCGCTAAGTGGAGGTCTCAACCGGTTCAGAGGACGAAGACGACGAAGATGGCGCGGGTGACGGACGAGGAGGGGAGGGAGGAGCAGGAACAACGAAGGCCCCAGGAACGATCGGCGACGGGGAGCGAAGGTCGACGACGGGAGGAGCACGAGGAGGACGAGGACCACGAGGAGGGGGGGAAGGAGACAGCTCCCACAGGGGAGCACCAGGACCAGCGGCACGGAAGGAGACCGAAGGAGGAAGAGGAGGAGGAAGACCGGGAAGTTCGTCCGATGACGAAGGAGATTCGGTCGCGAACACCGAACGACGAGCAGCGGGGGGCGACGAGCGAGCGACGGGCGAAGAGCGAGAAGTTGTCGAGACTTTCCTCTGTTTAGCAGGGGAAGGGGGGAGGAAGGAACAGACACCTGATGTACACGATGCACATCGTGTACCGCGGTTGGTCCCACAAGGACGAACACAGGGGAAGTCGGGGTGACGAGATTGCTCGTCACTGGAAGTTAGGATCTGTTACGTTCTGGGAAGTTTGATTCACTCACCGGCAGCGATCACATTCTTCGCCCTTGGGAGCAAGCTCCCACCTTCCAGGTTGGGCCGCGAGGAGGGCCAAGAGACTCGCCGAAGTTCTTACCGTTCCCGGACGAGGAACAGGCGAGGAAGAGGGGGCTTCAACCCGTACCCGTTTGCGAGCGGGGGTGGGCGAGGACAAAGCGGACGAAGAGGAAGAGGACACCGATATTGGTGAAGAAGTTCGTCGATGTCTCTTCTTAGGAGACCGAAGGATGGAAGATTTTCTTCTTAAACTCGCCTCTTTCGAGGGAGCTTTTCTCTTGGCCGGAGTCGAGGATGGACCGGCGACGGGAGCGGGAGGCGCGGAAGACGAGGAAGACGCCGACAGAGAAGGGAGAGCGGCCGACAAGGAAGAGAGGCGAAGGCCAGCCGAGCTGGCAAGGCGGCGGACGAAGGACGAAGGAGGAGCAGGAGGGGGAGACTGGACCCGGGACACTAACATCAGCCATGACACGAAACTTCTCCACGAAATTCTTAGGCAATTAGAACTTACTGCTTCGAGTCCTTCGGGCAACGTTCGAAGGAGGAGATTTGACGAGTTTTCGAGGGGTAGACGGGGCCATGGTGGGTATGAAGAGATGAATTTAGTGAGAGAGTTGGTTGAGATGTAAGAAGAGAGTTAGAATTGAAGAAGTTAGGGGGGGAAGTTCGTCGACTTACAAAGTATAAGGGGAAATTCGTTGCTGTTGACAACAGATAAGGGCGTTCCCGTCGTCAACGTCGTGTTTCATGGAGTCCAGGATACCACGAAGATCCCTGGATACGAGAGAAAATTTTTAGGCTAAGGGGTTTCCTACTTGCACTCATGGATACTGCACTCACGAACAGATTATTGCTTCCCATTCCCCATACATAAAATTCCTCTATCATTGTCATATCTTCTTGTCACATACGAATTTCCCCCACGATTTTCCAATGTCTAGGAGGCAAGTTACGAAGTTCGGTAGATGGCGATCTTGTTGTGAGGAAGGCGGCGTAGCCAAAGGAGGTTTCAGATTTTCCTGGAATTTCATTACGGGAATTACATTGTCAGGAAGTTGGTTTGAGGAGAAGGGTGAGAACCGAACTTCATGCTGAGTTGTTTTGTTCTTTTCGGCGTTGATGTTCGCTCACGAGGACGTTCGCGCTCAAGGAGGGGGCGACTGTCACGCGGCGCCGCGTGACATTATCCTTTCCCATCAAACGAAGTTCCTTTGGACATCAGTTCGCCATCAACGACCCAGTTCGCATGAACTTCACCACCCACGAGGGTATTAGGAGGCTAACTTCGTCGAGGACGAAGTTAGTCATGTAGGAACTTAGGGGGATACGAAGTTAGGAAGATATGAAGTTAGGGAGATACGAAGTTAGGAGGATACGAAGTTAGGAAGGCACGAACTTCGTCGGGGACGAAGTTCGTGAGGTACGAAGCTCGGGACGTCGGGTTGAACGAAGTTCTGCGTTGACGAAGTTAGGGAAGGACGAAGTACTTAAGGGCCGAAGTTCCCAGAGATCTTTGACGATCTCTGGTTGTTGTCTTAGTGATAGAAGTTAGTAAAGTACGAAGTTATTACACCCAGAAGTTATTGTCACCTATTTCATATCTCGAACAACGAAGTTGGTAAAGGTCGAAGCCCACGAAGTTATTGGCCGTCGGTCGTAGGAAGTTAACGAAGAAGCAACCCTGTGACACTTGTGCACTTCTCTCGGTCTTACGTATTGTGATATATTGCGTGATTCAAGGGTTGAGAGGGTGAAAGGATAGGTAGTCACTTGACTCCGCAGCGGACATCTGAGGTCAAGGGAAGAACAAGTCATCAGTGATTCATGTTCAAGCACAGACGTTCAATTGTAGGCATATAAGAGAATGAATTCTCTCAACCTCGTCGCTTGCTCAAATATCATTCCCTCGATCAATTTCACTCTTCGGAAGCTCCATCAGCAACGTTCTGTAATCATGCCGCAACGATGGTCACCTCACCCGACTTTCAATCCCAATTGTTCCATCGACCAAGCTCTTTCCCTAGCCGGTCAGTTGTGGAGTGGTGTTCCCGGCAATGACACTAACAACACCCTAGCAGAAGAACAGGCCGAGAGTCTTCAGCTCCACATGGACCTCCTATCAAGCTTGGGTCGGCTGAACATTCCGAGCGATAACGGATTGGATCATGCACTGAACCAAGTCGAGACAATGAAAGGCACATTTCAATGCTATGTCGGTACTGGGAGGGATCATGTGGAAGAGACAATGGGAGAAATCAACAATGGTCAGATGCTCGCTAGGGATCTTCGCCTTGCCTTGCTGAAGACGATCGATACACGGGTTGTCCTAACGGAAGGTGCTGCCCTCACCGAGACGTATGGGTGGTATCCGCCCGTCGCTTTCCTTCCTCTTCCCCAGACATTATCGTTCGACGAGAAGGAGAGGCGAACTTCGAAGTGGCGCCTCTTCGATGAACGGGAACGAGTAAAGCGAACAATCTATCATCAGCGCACGTTGAGCAAGTTACGCGACACCCTTTACACTGATACGAGACGCTTTACCGATGTAGAGGGATATCGAGAAGAATTGAAGCATTTGACAGAAACCGTGCTCCAGGAATATAGGTCAAGGGATTTACAATGGCCATGGATTATCACAGATTATGTTGAAAACTCAATTGATGGTCTGGAAAGTTGGCTTCACGGAGCATATCGTTCGGACATGGAACGACCAGCAGTCGGGATTACAGAAGATAGGGGATGGAAGGAGCTTGAGATAAGAACTGGCAGGTTATGTGATGCGTTTAATGGAGTTCTAAGTGTTCCGGTACCCTCTCACTTAGCTGTACGAGGTGATCGACGTTGAGGACGTCGATGTGGCCAGGGCACCCGCGTATGTAAATGCCACGTCAGGACAACTTTTACCAGGCACTGCGGAGAAATACCATTATATGGCGGACCCGTCCGCGTCCGTCCGCGCGTCCCAGCCAAACTTTGCTTCCGCCCGGACGGGCTCGGTCCGCCCAAAATTCCCCAAAGTGGTAATTGTCCCGCTTCTGATAATCTGCGTCCTAATGAGTCCGCCTGCATTTCCTAATTCAATTAGAAGAGCTATGTCGTATAATTGAAGTTATACTGCCAATTGCCCTTTAGTTATACGACATTGTTTTCTTAATGCATTAGTAATCTTTTTCAAGCAGTCAATGATACAACTTCTCTTGAAGTAGTTCTTCTTTTCGTTCAATCTCAATCCTTTGCTGAAGTCTCTATATTCAAATATCACTATGCCTCGTCATCTTAAAAGTAACCCACATTCAGAAATAACTCACCCTTATAACAATCCTCAAGCACAACATGTTATAGACGAAACAGTGGAGCTAGGAGAGTTTATTTTGTCTTCCAACAGTCGAAAACAATACAGACCTCGACAACAAAGGTGGAAAGAGTGGGCTGATAAGCAAAACTTCTTTGAACGGTGAGTAAAGGACTCTTCTTTGCTCAAATTTGCTAATTCCTGCAACTTCTTGCTCAATTGTGCTATTTTGAGCGGACTCGTGTTTGATGAAGAAAGGAGGTGCCTTTATAAACAATCAAAGGATGTCAGCTGATCTATAGCGACATCGTTACTCCTCAACATGCGCTGTTGTTTTTATATGAGGTTGTTTTGCAAGGAAAAGGCAAAAAACAAAAACATGTACTTTCTGCTGCTGAAATCGACAACAACATGCTAGATGAAGCGGAAATTGAACCAGAAGAACTCACGGTAGAGGAACGCCTCGAGGAAGTCTCAAATGATGATGAAAAACGAATTTTACATCAAACTCAAGCAGAAATCGACATGCTTTTGAAAACAGTTCCGTCTTCATCCAAAAATACAGCCAAATCAGGTAAATATCACTGATTCTAGAACAGTAAATAGCTAATGGGCAAAGCTTTAGACGTTATTTTAAATTGTACAATTAGTCCTAGCACTATTCTATCATGGGTCGCTGCTCTTGTTAATCTCTGGCAACAACAATCAAAAAGAGGAATCAACAAGACTTCTTCGCCCCGTAGCATCTACGTTATGACAATTGTGAACATATTAATCAAATTTGACCAACGTAGAAAGAGATTAATGTTCGCCGACAAAGGAAAACGTAAGTGCACATATTTTGCTTATAAAACGGTCAACATTGATAAGTAGAGCTTTATTATGATGGCTATGAAAGTACAACGCAATTAAAACGTTCTTTTGAGCATTACATGGCTCGAAATAACGAAGAGGGTATCAGAGATGCTTTAGCGCAATCATTAGGAATATTTGGCATGTTAAGAGGTGATAACCAGCGCAGTTTACTCTTATCGGACATATCCTCTGAAATTTCTAGCAGAGAAGGCCCGACGTCTTGTTTATTCGTTGTATTGGTCATACAATCAAGCAAAACAAACTCCTCCGGTAAACCTCAGTACACTGCGTTTATCAGAAACAAAGATTTAAGAATATGTCCTGTCTTCCACTTAAGTCTTTACTTATTTGCACGGTAAGCCGTATTTAAACCCAAGTACTCGATATATACTAAATTCTAGCTTTTATTGTGGCTCTTCACCCGCAGGATTTCCAGATATGTCAGCAAGAGCTAAATGGTACGATTTACCACTATTATGTGATGGTAAATTACGAACAAAACCGATTTCATACGATACTCAACGAAGAGCAGTTAGTGATGCGCTACACGCCGCCAACGTTCACACATATCAAAAAACACATATAAATAGACGTTTTGGTGCTCGTTTAGCCGAACAAGGGGGTGCAACCTCAGAGGAAATTGCACGAGCCGGACATTGGGCACATTCGGTTCTAGAAAATCATTATTTAACGCATATTCCTCGTCGACCGGTGCGAGCTCTTGCTGGTTTTTCTATTGAGGGCAATAGTTTCTTTCTTTCGAGGGATATTTCGCCTCCTGCAACCCTTCTACGCAAAGTTTTTCCTGAAATTGAGAAATGGTGAGCTTAAATCGCGATTTGATTCCCACTCTTGCTAGTTTGTGCTAAATTTTGCTAAATTTTGCTATTTTGTGCTTTTGCTGACTCTCAAAGGATAGGAATTCTCGATTCTAGCGTACGTCCGGAAGAAGAGCTTACTAGTCGAATGTTTCTTCAAACAATGGGTCATCTCCGTGAATCATTTCTACAAGATATCGTACACGTTCGCAAATGGTTTCCATCGCTTTACATTTTCAATCATCCTCTTTTCAAAGACGAAGAGTTCTTATCCTTTGAGGAACAAGCGATTACTAGAACGATTGCCAATGAAAACAAATATGATGATCGTATTGCTCAAGCTTTGCCAATTTTACATGACATTCTACAAACTCAAGCTCAAGCACAACAACAAACGTCACATGATATGGTTTCACGCATTGAAGAAGTAAATAAAAGCCAAAGACAAAATAACGAGCAAATTCAAGCCGTCTTGAATGGAATTGCGTTAATACAAAACGGTCTTAGCAGTCCACTCCTTTTTCCGCCTATATTACAGTCTATCGTACGTGAAAACCAGTCTTTGAACTCCGGATTGGCAAATACAAACGAAGCAAGCACTTCATTGACGACTTTGCCAAATGAACAACTTACAACTTCTACTACAAACTCGTTCTTTGCAACTACATCTTCATCTTCCCAAAATATAAACGTTCAAACCTCTATCCAAACCAGTCTGCTATCACCATTTACTATGAGTAGATCAGTTCAAACGGTTCAGGAATTATGGCAAGAGTATCTCTTTGGTATTAATGGTCGCCCATCAATTAAAAGTCAGTACGAAGATAACCCTAATGGACTGAAGAATGCAAGCGAGACCGAAAAACGTTTTTATAGAAGACGTATTAGCATTATTCGAGCGGTTCGACGTTTAAGTGAGGCAAGAGCAATAGAAGATGTTGAAGCAGCAAAGGTTTGGGATAAACATAGACATACTTTACCAAATCCATCTTTAGACGCCTTACAACATTGGTTGAGTAAAGCATCTGCCGAAGAACTCATATCTGTTTAGTATTGTACAGTAATGTATCTTCTCGTGTAGCATTACCTTTGCATAAATTTTATTCTGCAATTTCCTGCTAATTTTTGCTCATTCTTGCTACTTTCTGCCAATTATTGCTCGTGAGTGCTAACTGTGGTTAAAATTTCTTTACTCGTAGCCAAGGGCGTTGTAGAACAGTCAAAGGAGTATGAAACCTCACAACGGACATATAACCTGCAGGAATTAGGACCACGTCGTTGTTCAGAAAACGTCCCTGCAGGAATCAACAATTTGATCCGTTTTACGGTTTCATGTATTCAAGACGTGCTAAAAACGATAGACTTGAGACAGTGTAAATCAGGGTCTGTAAATCAACGTAATTTACGTCCTCAAACCATTAAAACGAGGGTATGCATGTCGTTGTCAAGGGTAAGTATCCTTTGGTTGTCAAGGAGAGCGAAATGGTCAAGTTGCTGGTTGTCACATATACCAGGTCGTTGTCATGAGTTCTTCCCCACCTCTTTTCAAATTTTAACGTCTTACATTACTTTACCACACTGACATTTGAATTTTAAGCTTCTTGAAAAGATATCATGTCGAACCCACCTACTCCTCCTGCTACTTTGAAACAACTGGTTACGACTAAGCCCGATTCACGTTAGTTGCTGCTTTTTCAACGTTAAGAGGTTAATTGATTCTGATAATTAGCGGAGTGGAGCGCCAAATTCGATTGGGATGGTATTGTTGCTTATCCTCTACGGAAATGGTCTGATACTGGTCGTAATGAGGTTCTTCGGGTTGCAGCTGGAGATAAAGGTCCTAGGATTGGAATTTCTCCTAATGAATCGTCAAAAGTTAGTGCTTTCGAGTCAATTTTCGTCAAAGTTGTGTTTATCTGACTCAATTAGTATAAAAATTACCGGGAGGCGTATAATCACGCTGTATCGCCTAATTCTCATGTCAGAATGGGAACATTTAGCTGTCAGTTGTGTCAAACTCGTCAAATTCGCGAAGTTACGTGTTCCTTCGGTTGTGTTACCGTCGGTGAGCTCCCTACGGGAGCATGTACCGAATGCATTGCGAGGGGTACGACAGCTCGCTGTACTTTTGTCGAAAAAGCGGAATACATCCTAGATCAAGCGAGCTTTGCAGGAAATATTCGAGAAGAGTTAGGGAAATTGAAAGCTATCGAGATCCAGGCTGAATTAGCGAGTTAGTACTTTTCGTTCTTAAATATAACTGCAAAGCTAATTTTTTAGCAACACATAAGTATCAATTGGAACCGAAAACTATCTTATATCAATGTCAACATATCAGATCTAATATTGAGCAATTGATGGCGATTCATTTGCCTGATATGGCTCCCGAAGGTGTTGTTGCCCCCGATACTCCCCGTAAGCGTCGTCGTGCCCCTGTCGCAGCAACCCCTCCCTCCGAAGACACATAAGTTGTTGTATATCTCTATATGTATGCATCAATTACTCTTGAGCTCTCATCAACACAAACATCAGCAAAAATGAGCACAAATTAGCAAGAATTAGCAGCAGTTCGCAAGTTAGGACAGAGAAGAGTGAACGAGATGAATTGTTGGAACGCGTTCAGGTGGCAGCATGAGTCACAATTTCGTACATTCGGTTATCGACATGATACCCGGACCGGCCCTAGGACCCCCGTCCGGACTGACTCAGGGTCCATGTCGTATAACAAGTCATTCCGTGATGAGGTCAAGATGCCATGCATTAGTATCTTTGGTACCCCCACTTAACCTTGACGTTCATCTACTTACTATTTAGTGCGCAACTAGAGTAGTAGCAACTCCTTAACATTCCAGCTATACCAGCTTCATTCTCCTCACTCATCGTATCCCTTCACTTCCGTCACGTCCCTTCAGGTCTTAGGCGGAGGTCAGTGGATAATCCACAGCTTACTCCGAGAGAACTGAAATGGCGCCAAAGGGGAAATCTCCCAAACCTCAACCCCCTCCTTTCCAACCCCTCACAGCAGATGTTCTCCCAAGCTCGACCGAGTCTGACCGACCACCTACCCCTTCGACGCAGTATGGATCAGGTCCAACGGGTAAACTGACTCACCTGGCATATCCTCTCCCCGTGGGTCTGTCTCATGAGGTGGTGGACAACACGGCTAGCTTGCTGCGCTTTGTGATTTTAGCTCTCATATGCGGGGCTGCTGTGGGAAGTCGGTTATTCGCAGTGATACGATTCGAAAGTGTCATTCATGAATTGTGAGCTTATCTCCTCCATATCATCTCGTCCATATCTCGGTACTTCTGTCATCATCATGCGCGACTCAGTCAAGGCTGGTCTAATAGGTTGCCATGGTCTATGAAAAGCTTTGCTAACAGCAGCGATCCTTGGTTCAACTTTCGGGCTTCAAAAGTGCTCGTTAACGATGGTTTCTACGTGAGTTCTTCTCACACTGTCTTAACCCTCCAATGAGGTTGAGGGACTTCTTTACCCTCCTCACTCTTGTCGTGTATACAACAGGACGCACGTTGACCTTCAGGAATTTTGGAATTGGTTCGACCCTACCGCTTGGTATCCTCTCGGGAGGCCTGTAGGGTCCACACTATACCCAGGTCTCATGGTCACCTCTGGTATCATCTGGAACTTCTTACGACTAATCAACATGCCCGTAGACATCCGGAATGTCTGCGTTCTGTTAGCTCCCGGGTTCTCAGGTTTGACGGCCTGGGCGACTTATTTGTGAGCTTTGTTCTTCCTTCAGCTTTCAGTACTTATAGAGTAGATTCACGACTGAAATGGCTACCCCTTCGGCCGGACTATTGGCAGCTGCGTTCATGGGCATCGTTCCTGGATATATCTCTCGATCCGTAGCCGGTTCATACGATAACGAGGCCATTGCCATTTTCCTCCTGATGTTTACCTTTTATCTATGGATCAAAGCTCTGAAGACTGGTAGTGCTTTTGTGGGAATGTTGGCTGCTTTGTTCTATGGATGGATGGTTGCCGCTTGGGGTGGTTATGTTTTCATTACCAATAGTGAGTGGTCGACGTATCTCAACTCTCCTCTTCCTTGCTTTGCCTTTTCTTTACCTTGGAGTCCTGCCCCTCGAGAGGGACCAATGTATGTGAGCTTATCCGCAGTGCTTCCGCTCCACGCATTCGTCCTAGTCCTCATGGGCCGATATACCAGTCGTCTCTACGTTTCATACTCTGTATGGTATGTCATCGGAACCCTCATCTCGATGGAAGTGCCTTTCGTTGGGTTCTTACCTGTCCGGACGTCTGAGCACATGGCCCCGCTGGGCGTCTTTGGTCTCCTGCAACTGGTCGCGTTCGCAGAGGTCGTTCGGAAGCTCGTACCCAGCAAGCAATTCCAGCTTCTCTTGCGAGCATCTGTAGTCGCAGCTTTCGCAGTCAGCTTTGCGGTCTTGGTGGCTCTCACTTTCTCCGGTTGGATCGCCCCTTGGACAGGTCGATTTTATTCACTGTGGGATACGGGATATGCCAAGATACACAGTGAGTACAAGTTTCGCATCGTCACAGCTGGTCTTAAAACCCAATTGTAGGCCACATGACTTCGTCGGACGGGGATAGGATGTGTACTGTGACTATCAGGCCTCCGTACGGTCGAGCTGATCAATTAGTGCCCATCATCGCTTCCGTGTCAGAACATCAACCGACCGCTTGGCCATCATTCTTCTTCGACCTGGGTATGCTCATCTACTTCTTTCCCGCCGGCATCTTCTGGTGTTTCCGCGAACTTCGAGATGAACATGTCTTCATCATCATTTACTCGGTCTTGTCTTCCTATTTTGCAGGGGTCATGGTCCGTCTTATGCTCGTAATCACCCCTGTTGTTTGCGTGGCTGCGGCTATCGCGTTTTCCAAACTCCTCGATGCTTACATCGATCCCGCCATTCCCGACTCCGAGACCCCCATCGTTCCACAGAGCACCCCGTCTAAAAAATCGACCAAAAAAGCTGCCGCGGTAGCTGCGAAGCCTACTCCTCCTCTCTTCACTGGTCTTCTGGGCAAGGCTACGTCGTTCGGTATCTTTGGGCTCGATACTCGTTTCGCCGTCATTGTCACACTCACTTCGTTCCTCTTCCTCTTCGTCCTTCACTCCACGTACGTGACACAATCCGCGTACTCTTCTCCTTCTGTAGTGCTCTCGTCGAGGAACTCGGACGGTTCACAAAACATAATTGATGATTTCCGAGAGGCCTATTACTGGATACGTCAAAACACGCCCAAAGACGCGGTGATCATGTCATGGTGGGATTACGGTTATCAGATCGCTGGTATGGCAGACCGACCAACGTTGGTGGATAACAACACGTGGAACAATACACATATTGCCACGGTTGGTAAAGCCATGAGCAGTAGCGAAGAGGTAGCATATCCGATATTGCGGAAACACGATGTGGATTATGTGTTGGTGATCTTTGGTGGATTGTTGGGGTATTCGGGAGACGACATCAACAAGTTCTTATGGATGGTGAGGATCGCTCAGGGAGAGTGGCCGGATGAGGTGCAGGAGGTGAATTACTTTACTCAGAGAGGGGAATATGCAGTGGATGATAGGGCGTAAGTGTTTCTTTCCACGGGTTTCCTGCTCTGATTTGACATTGCACACGTTGTCGCTCGGGAAGGACGTTGATCGATCTGATCCTGACCTGCAGTACCCCCACGATGAGAAATTCACTCATGTACAAAATGTCATATTATCGATTCCACGAGCTGTTCGGTGGACAACCGGCCACCGACCGGGTGCGTGGTCAACGCATGCCGGCTGTGGGTCCCACGTTGGATACGCTTGGTGAGTCAACTCCCCTCTACGTCTTGTCCATCACTCGCAACATGATACGATGACAGAGGTGCGAATTATCGGACCCAACGCTGACAAACAGACGAAGCTTTCACATCTGAAAACTGGATTGTGAGGATTTACAAAGTGAAGAAAGAAGATGCGTTGGGTCGAGAGTTGAAAGCTGTCTCAGCGTTTAATGGAGGGAAACGATTGACACGAAGCGCATCAGCTGGAAGTAGTAGCATAGGACAAGAGAAACGACCCAGTATGTAGATCTAACGAATGTCGCATGGAAACGAGGCGAGTAGAAGTAGAAGACTCGTCATGTGCCGGTGAATGAACTGAGCTGCAAGCGGCGTCGTAGGTGCGACGTCATCGTTGCCACAGCTGGCTTGCATTTAGACCCTGACCCTGAATCCGTTCAAATCTCTAGACCCGACCCACCACGACCCATCTTCCTAGCTTCTTTCTTTCTTTCTGTTCGTCTTCCTACACATCTGGTCAACACCTTAGCACGTTTCGGTCTCCTGGTTCACCATATCGCATCAAGTCGATAGATTCACATCTGGCCGCTGGGTAATAAGGTAGCGCGTGTGAGAATCCAGAACGTGGATCTACAAAAGCGTGGCCGGTCATTTCGATCTCACCGTGAACATATATATCAAAACGTGCACACTTCCCATCGATCCATCGACATCCATCAATCTTCTCGTATATCGACAAGAATAAGTAAGAAGTGAAGACAAGATGGACGTGATAAGACCTGGACATGCGCATAGGAGTAGTTCGGATCGGTTGTTGAATAATTATCTGTAAGTTTTGGGGTTCTGCATCGTTTCATGCTTTCCTCTCATCGTTTCTTTCAATTGATCCATCGATGGAGCAATGGGATTTGCTTTGGGTTTGTATATCGTCATGGACGTAGATATGAATGTGGATGAGGATGAGGATGAATATGCGGATGAGAACATCTCTGACCCACAGTGATTCTCAAAAAGGTCTAGCAACAGCCCTTCTCACCCTCCTCTCTCATTCTCACTCCTCCACATCATCTCTACTAGCCTACGTAACCTCTTCTCCAGGTGTCATTCCTCCTATCCGTCGTGCAGTTCGTCACGCAGCATTCGAAGGACCTCTTTCCGCTTCTTTACTAGAAAATGCAGCATACCACGAACACTCCACTTCACCCGATACAGGTACACCCGGTTGGGCAGCCTACGTATCTTCACTCGAACAATTCCGGAAAGATCTCAAACAGATCCATTTACTTGAAGAAGAGTTGAGTCGAGTGAAAAGAGATAGAGAGATTTTAGTCACGAGATTGATCAAGACTACCAAGACTAAACCTACAAGAAACGATCTGAGTGCTATGGCGAATAGCTATTCTCAATCTGGTTATGGAAGGGAGAATATGAGTTCTAGAGCTTCTGTTTTATCTGTTAGTTCAGGAGGGAGCGTAGTGACGAAAGAAGGAAAGAGAGCTGGGAAGTTGGCAGAAGCTCAGGCGGAATTGTTAGGTTGTGAAGAACATTTAAGGGGGTTGGAAGTTAGGATAGAGGCGGAGAGAAATAAAGTCATGTTGAGAGGTTTGGAGGAGAGGTTTAAGGCGATGGAGGTGGTGGGTCAGATGTGGGTAGGTCAGGCTAAAAGAGGCTTGGATGAGTTGGTTAGGGTACATGGTGAGTCAAACTTTTCTAACTTCATTTACATCCTCTCGTTGTCATCATATCGCCTTTGCCATCGAATTAGAGTCCCCTCACCTCAGCATTGCCCCGTCCTTGCATCTGTCCCTCCCCTGACAAACCTCTCATGGCCTCGCCTGGGTGCGCGTGTTGCTCTGCAACGGGTGACGCAATGACTTGTCAAAACACCATACTGACTTTATCAGGCGCTTCAGAGACAGCTTACGAGAACGACTCGGCCAATGGATCCATCGCTCCGTACGAATCCGCATCTCAAAGTGGCTATGAAGACCACTCCGGCCATCATCTCCACAAAAGTGGTCATCTCAATGGCGCCGGTTCTATCACTGGAAGTATAGCGGAAGAAGATGAGGATGGTTCATCCACCGATGAAGGACACGGACGGGCACTAGTTGTTCATGAAAATCGACCCGGTGGTCGTTCCCCTGTCCGGGCTAACACTGCCAGCCGTGCTCATCGACCGAATCGACCATCGCCTCTAGGGGTTCCATCAGTCGTCGCTCCTCGACCTCAATCTTCAGCCGCCTACAACAACCCTCGATCTGGCGGACGCAGAGTGGCAAGTGACGTCGGTGCTTCCAGTTACCACCCACCAGCCAGTAGACAATCCCTTCGAAGAACATTCTCTCATGAAGATCGTAGAGCTGGATCTGATACTTCAAGTGTTCGTCAAGGTTCGACAGGAGGGAAGAAGAAACGTGGTTTCTTCGCCAGTCTTTCCCGGTTTTTCAAAGGTCCCAAAAAGCCCGAAGGTTCAAGGACGGGAAGAGATTCCCCTGCCTATGGTGCTTCTTCAACCAAGTGGCACACTCGGACGGAAAGCAATATCAAACGAGTCAGCACTTTTGGTCGATCCGCTGCAGACTCCAGCTCAGACGATGAAGGGGGTAATTTAGTTTCGGTCAATAATAATCGAGATAACACATGGTCTGTCGATCAAGTGGGAAGAGTTCCTTCAAAGGCTCACAAACGCTCTTCAACCTTACCAGTAGCTTCCGGTCTCATACCACCTAAACCGACAAAGTCTGATCTTGGAGCGAACAGGGTGGGCGGGTCGCAATCAACCCTCACGATGAAGAACACTGCTTCTAAACGTGCTACATCACCTTTACCTGTAGGTGCAAAGGCAACAGGTGCGGCTGCTCCCACCTCGGGTACGTTGGGTAGATCAGGAACTGTCAAGTCGACCCAATCAGCAACTTCGACTGGGACAGTCAAGAAGACGAGACAAAATGGTAGTATTTCACGAGCTACGGTAGCTTCACGACAAGCTGCACAAGGTAGAAACATTATGTCAATGATCGAAACTAAGGACGCAGCGCCTGTCATGCCTGAAGTACCTAAGGCTCCAAGAAGTCAAATCACACCTCAGATGGAACTTGTCAAAGCACCCGGAACTTCCATCATCCCAGCTTCAGCATCTGCTCCAGTTCTTAAATCTGCTCCGATGTCTAAACCTACCGTTCCTCTTCCTAAGACAGTTGCTCCTGCCACCAACGGTGACCTCCCTCGACCATTGTCACGAATTAACAGTGTCAAGAAAGTCTCACAACCCCCAACTGCGACATCAACTGCACGTTCTTCCACCCCTTTACCTCCATCACGAACATTGGCTCCACCTCTGAAATCAGCTATGCGTCCTACCAGTCCCAGCCCCCCGACCGAGGCTCCACTTACGCTTCCTCCTCCTAATCTCTTCACCATCACCGCTCCAGGACCGGTCCAACTTCCTGTGGAGGAAAAGCCCATTCCGAAACAGATCAGACCTGCTTCACCTGTCAAGCGTCTCTCGTATCAGTCGACCAACACCGAAGGTGGAAGCGTGTATGAATCTGCAAACGACTTCTTCGACGCTGAGGATGGTGCGGATTCGTCTTCATCTGAAGATGAGTTAGAGGGATATCAAGTCGTGGAGAATTCCTTGAACGCTAAAGCGGGGGAAGTAGCAGGATCACCGAAAGTTGAACGTATCCATTCTGAAGCACATGGGGTGGAAGAGGTTCACTCGGATTACGCTTCCGATGATACAGATACAGGCAAAACTCTTGTTCCATCTGCGCAAATTCTGCCACAACAACAATCACCACAACCTGCACAAAACTCCACTTTGGAATCCATTCCATCGAAGGAGATGACAGAATCTCCAGGGGCTGTCCGTAGAAAGAGCGTCAGGATGGCAGTTCCAGATTCACCAGCTGAACCTCATCCACCTACAGGATCCCCGCTCAAGTTACCCGCTACTTTGATGGACGAAGAAAGAGCACCGAGTCCTGAACCGGAACGTCCAACGGGTCAATGGAGCAGTAGGATATCTACGGGTGTGAGGGAAGATGAAAGTGAGGAAAGTGATCAGGACGAAACTTATAAGAAAGCGAAAAAAGGGTTGGTGAAGAACACAGGGAGATGGGAAGCTGTACAGATGGCTAAAGAGGCAGGGGAGAGGTTAAAAGCTAAGAGAAGTGGGGCGGGTGGGGCGGGTAGTGCCAGGAGTTCCAGCAGGAGGAGTGTCAGATGAGATGGAAAGAGTCGCAATGAAGCACTCGTATGAGTGTAAGAGAAGGATGAGAGGTAAAAGATCAAGTGAGGTTTATAAGAGGTTTTTGCATCTGAAGGGATCTTTGTTGAACAGAATGGGAATTGGAAATTAATGTAATGGAGCGTATAATGATATGGATAATTTTCTACTGCTGCCACTACCAGTATACAAGTATCATATCTACTTTCCTTGCACAACGTATCAGGTCAAGCCCGGTCCATCCATACTCGGTTCTATTCATGCCCACAACAGTGGAGATCGCCGCCATTGAACGAGGTGCACGGTGGGGAAAGTTGGGAAAGTGGGGGGAAAGCGGTCCAAGCTCAACCATCAAATTTTGTCTATTGTCATTCCGACACTTTTTCTCCCTTGCAACCCCCATCAATCCATCCTCGTATCAACAATTTACTCGTTCTTATTGTCCATCCACCTAGTTGTTCATTCAAGCATGACCATACAAATGACTTCTGGTCTGGCCATGATTGATCTAGTGGCGATACCACTCAGGGGTAAGAGGGCGGTTCAAAGAGAAGGAGTAAGGGGTAAAGACTGTTGAGCTTGTTGTTTGTCACAAATGGCCACGAATGGATCTTGGACTGGTAAAACTGATGTCTTATATTGAACTCATGAGTACAAAATATCATTGATATATCTTACGTTTGGAACTTGACTCTTGCTCATCTTCAGCTTTGAGTAAAATAGTTATCTCGTTGAACGATCATCTATCCTCACACATCCATTCCATCTGAAGTTCATAACTTCCCATCGCACCTCTTCATAACTTATTTGACCATTCTCTTTTTCTCTCAAAGATCACATTGGACGAATTTGCGATAGACCATTATCCCTTCGACACGTCTGTGATCCATCTCCCTTGTACAAGTGACTGGAAGATCACCGATCATCGACTTCAGCCAAGATCTATTAAGGATTTAGCGACCTTTGCAGAGAAACGGATCACTACAACAACGAAGACGAAAATGGTAGCTGACGGTCCATCAAGATTCAAATCTCGTTTCTCTTTACTTTCCCTCTTACCTACTCGTCATCCTCCCATCGTAATATCAAACCCTCAACCTATACCATCATTACCAACCCAACATATTCATCAACCGAGGGATATCAAACAAGTCAAACATTCCCGACCTGCTTTAGCTCCTGCTCCCATTTCTCCCGTTCGATCCGCCAGAGCTTTCCCCTGTTCTCCATCACAAATTATGGACCGTTCGATGAAGATCCTTTTACTCCACCACGAAGAATAGGATCGCCAGGTTCTAGTTACACCAATTCTCCTGGAGGAAGAAGGGGGTCACCACGTAGACCTCCACCTTTAGATTTAGATAAAGTGAGAAAGGCTTATCCACCTAAAGATGATGTTTTAGCTTCAGCTACAACTCAACATGATCCTTCTATCTTTCCCTCTCAAACTCGACCAAAGACTCCTCCCCCTCCCCCTCCTCATGCTCCCAGTCCCCCAATACTACCAGAATACAATGTACCGAAGAAAGTCACAAGAGGGGAGAGATCGAAAAGAGAAGAAAGAAGTAATGTGGAAGATCCATTCGAAATTGTGCAAATTGAACCTGGACATAAATATTCTTCATGGCAAAGAGGGAAAATAGATATAAAACCTGGTCAAATCATCCCTCGATCTTTAATGCCACCCAGTTCGAATTACTTTACAGAACCTGATCCGGTACCAGAAGACACATACGATTCCGTTCTTGCCGACGTATTACTCACACCGACTTATCTACGTCCTTCTCCTAATTCGAACTGTCAAACACAATGGTCTCCCGCTTCATCACCTTCATCTCGACAAAAACGAAAGACTTTATTGGGAAAAGTCGGTCAGGTAGTCAGTACCGCAGCACGTAAATCTGCCTTCGTCCCAAAAGGTATCTTAAAACATGGGGGTATGAACACAGACCCAGCTGAAAGGTCATTGAAGGAATTGAAGGAGAGAGAAGCTAGAGAGATGGATAGGTATAGATTGGCACAGCATAAGGCAGGTGTGGATATAGGAAGAAGTTATAGTACTTCTTTATCACCCGTGTTGGATATGAGAGCTGAAGGCTTGAGACGTAGTCCGGGGTATGTTGGTCATCGAGAACAACAAGTTGGGATAGAGCATTTCGAAGTGGATGGGAAAAAATCAAATGGTTGGGGACATGGTGGTAAGGATGATTTGGAAAAGGTCAAGAGGAAACAAAAGATTTGGAAGGTGGGTCAAGATTTCAACCATAAATCCTAGGCCGAGTCCTCACTCATTCATCCACCTCCTTCCCAATTGATCATCCCCTTCGATGTAGCCACCGTGGCTTGGAGAGCAAGAGCTGACCTTTTAGTACTCGATCGTACTCATCATTCTCGCCCTTGCAGCACTCATCATCGGCCTCTGCACATCTCTCCTGACCCGTTCGTCGGGTTCATCAACCACTTCATCCACATCATCCAATTCTACATCTTCATCCTCCTCCTTGTCATCTTCACAGTCGACTACTGCATCACCACCCACTTCGACTTCTACTTCCCAAACACTCACCACTTGCCTCCAACAATTCTCCTCTTCCGCACCTACCTCCCCTCTGTCATATTCTTGTTCAGATTGTGTCCCTCTCCTCTCTTCGGCTCAGAACGATTTTACCGTTCCTTTGGTCGGTGGTAATTCCACCGGTGTCGGTGCGGCATTGCAATTCTGCGCTTTGTTAGATGTCTACAGGGGAACGCAAGATGTAGCAGGTTTGAAAACAGGAGGTTGGGCTGGGAACGCGAGTCCGTGCGATGGCTGGACTGGGGTTACATGTGATTCAAGAGGAAGAATCACGGAACTGTGAGTATTCTCTCACGCCCGCTCTCCCCCTCCCCCACCACACATATACTTCCCCCCTTCCGCTCCTCGAGCAATTTGTAAATTATGTTCATTACTGCATTAATTCTTGTGCTATGCAAATCCACTGACCACTCAGGACTCTGAAATATCCCAACGTCCCGACCACCTTACCGGATTCTCTGATCAACATTATTTCACTTCAAACGTTACACCTTACGGGAAATTCATCCATCCCTTGTGAGCTCCCATGTTTTGATTAGCAAGAATCGACTGACAGTCAGCCGGTCCCTTTCCCAACGCTCTGACGAAACTGTCCAATCTCACAGTGATCGACATAGAATATACCGCTTTGACCGGACCACTGTCGAATGACGCATTCGAGAGTGCATCTAAGTTGCAAGCTCTGTTTTTGGTGTACAACGCACAACTTGGGACCACGTTACCAAATTTGGTAAATTCTAAAAGTCTGACTACCTTGTGAGTCTATCTCTTTTACTGGTCATCCTTCTGTCTCCGCTTTCTGAACTTTGTCGTCTGTCAACACCTAAGGGTGCATCTCTTCCAGACTCTGAAGGCGATGGTCATAAAGTCAACGGAAAGGATAACGTTGGGCGTATGTATGTTTGTATCAACGCTGACATTCAGAGCTGTGACGGGTCAAAGATTGACCAATATCTCCGTCGATCAATTACCTTCATCTTTGACATACTTGTAAGCTTACTTGTGTACAATAAGCCACGCAGAGCTGACAAGAAGGGATCTATCTTTCAATTCACTCAGTGGTCAAACACCTTCTTTCTCACAATTGACTTCTTTACAAACTCTGTGAGTTATATTTTCTCTTTCTCAACCCCTTCGCCATCTTCCTTCTCTCTTTCCCTCGGTATCGTTTCTCTATCTGTACTCTGGACAGTCGGTATCACCATGACCCGTATCTGTTCTTCCCAAGATCGTTCTTCCGACAAAGACGAACGAACTATCTTATTGACTGTGGGGGGTAGACTTTATTTGGATAACGTCTAATGAGCAGTTTACTAGAAAATGATTCTTTCACTTCTCCACCGACATCCCTTCCATCCACTTTATCGACACTATCCCTCACTTCCAATCCTGCGTTATCAGGTTCACTACCAGCCAGTGTATGTTCCAGTACCACTCTGACCAGTTGTGATCTTCGTAGCACTTTACTTTCCGCCCCGAGCAATACGACCACGACTATTACGAACAATTCGACCAGCTCAAAAGTGTGTGGACAATGCAAATTCCAATAACCTCCTTGAAGTCATACTCTTCTCCAGACCCAAACACCCGAAGATTGTACCCGTACACACACACGTCAAGCAGCGCGCTACTATGGGAAAGGAGAAAAATAAACACGCACGCGAGAACATCATACATAGTTCATTATGAAACGGAATGAAGAACGAACACACCAAGAAATCAACTTTTACTCTGATAGATTATTCTGATGATTTGATTTGTACCACCATGCATCTTGTCTTATTCTCATTCACATCCCACGACTCACAACTCACACTGCCTCCACTTCCATCCTCGATTCTTCCAACTCCTTTTCCTTGACTCTTTCAACTTGTGAAATCAGATAATCCAATTTATATCCATTATCCCTAGCTAACCTAACCACTCCTTCTTCCCAATCCCCTAAACCTCTTAACAAACCTCTGAACACTGAAGCCATTTCACCTTTATGACTCATCAACCATCTCCCATGAGCCGTCAAAATATAATTAATCCAAATTAAATCATATTCCACATGAGGACTTTTCTCCATATGTCCTATTAGAAACTTTAAAAATGATTCTAAATGTATTTGAGGTAATTGTCTCGATATCAATTTGATCTCTCCAATAGGAACGTTTTCATAAACTCTTAATAAAAGAGGTAATTCTGATAATCTTAAAGCCATGATCAAAGCTAAAAGATGTTCTTCATTTCCCAAAGTTTTCAAAATGGATTCGGGTGTAAGATCTAATGTTAAATCAAAAGGATCAAATGTCGTTCCTTCATCTAAAGAATATAATAATAATCCTTCTGTTGATGCTGCTGCCCAACTTCTACCACTTGTTGAAAATCTTACACAATTCGTCTTTGCTTCTCTTCTATATTTTCTTTTTGATAAATCACCTTTTTGTGCACCTGGTAATGAATTATCTAGACGATCTTCTAAATCAGAAGCATCCCCATTTTTATCAATCGAATCAATTGGTCCTAATTCTGTTAATCTACGTGAATCTAAGAATTCTTGAGTTCCATCCAATGAAAGGTTTTCAGAAATTTGATATTTCTTTAATAAAACTCCTTCGGTTCGGGAATAAATACAAACGTATTTACTATTACCACCTGCTAAAACGCAAGAACCATCAGATGTCCAGGTTACCGAATTGAAATATTTCGAAGAAGCGTTATTTGATGATGACATTCTATCATCGATTTTCCTTCCACCTGATATATCTTTTCGAGCTTCAATTACCGATGTTATTTGTCCTTCGACTTCATCGATAAATGTTAATTGACCATCTAGAGTGGAAACGACTATTTCACTTCCATCAGGTCGGAAAGAGAGTGAAGTAGCTTCGGCTGATAATGATATAGGTTCGGAAGAACGTGATCGACCGAATATACCCCATAATCGAACGGATCGATCCCAAGAAGAAGAAGCGAGTTGATTCCCAGAAGGTGAAAATGATAATCCTGAAATTGGAGCACTATGTCCAGTGAGGATATCGAGTAATTTACCAGTTTGAACTGACCACATGTAAATTTCAAAAGAATCCATACTTCCTGCACAGACAACTTCACCACTAGGATCCACAGCTAAAGAACAGAATTGAACAGGAGTTGGAGATGTGAAAGTTCGGAAATTTCGATATCGTACCATGTCATATGCTCTGACGGTTCCATCCAGTGAAGCGGAGAATAATACATTTCGAGCGAATTCGACTTGAGAGATGGATGCTGTATGTTCGGGAAAAGTGACGAAACAGAATCCACTTGAAGCATTCCATACTTTGACTTTACCATCTTCTCCACCTGTAGCAATGTATTGTCCGTCGGGAGAGAAGGACAAAGTGTTCATATCGTAATAATGTCCTTGTTGTTTGAGAACGTACGATTCGGATTGCCATTCCCATACCAATAGTTGACCTAGTTTGGCAGCTCCAAAAGCTAGCCATTCACCAGAAGGATTGACCGCCACGCTGGAGATTTTCTCGTTGGAGATGGACAACGTGTGAATAGAAGTGAAGGTGGGCATTTCGTATAACCCAAACACACCTGTTGAGAAGCCCACGATGAGGAGAGATGAATGGGAATGAAAGGTCGTGCATACCACACGGGTGGAAGGGAGGTTGAAGTAATGTCGATTAGAAACACCCCATCGGGTGTAAGCGGGAAGGAAATCAGTGGTTCGTTTGGCAGCGACGGAAGAGGTAGAGGGAAGATCGAGGATATCTTCTTCGATGTCAGAATCTTCCGCCGAGGTGGTCTTCTTGGCGTTCCAGATGAACACTGCGCCGTCACGAGAGACCGTGTAGATCTGTCACTCAGCAAGTTATTCCTTTGAGAACTACTGCTCTAAAAGCTCAAAGAGCTAGATGCGTCGTAACATGGCTTCAGATGAAGTTCAGGTAGAACGTGGCTAGAATCTAAGAGAGCAGAGAAGGATATTTATGGAGAAAAGGAACGAAAAGAAACAATCACACACCGTCTTCTCATCTTCAGAAAAGTACGCCGACAAAACCACATCTCTATGACCCCCAAAAGTCTTCGGCATGAACCCCTCCAACGGGTCCAGAGTAAACATACGAGCAGTCATATCCCTCGATGTAGTCAAGAAATAACGACTCCCTTTCCCCCAGGTCAAACTCGTCACTTGATCCTGATGACCGGTATATGTGCGTTTCAATACGAACGGTGCGAACTCCCTTGCGAGGTGGGAGGGTGTAAGCCAAACTTCTACTTGAGATCCTAGACAGACCGCTATGTATTTACCACAGGGAGAGAAGGAGACGTGGGAGACAGGAGAGCGGAATGTCATATGATGAAGTGTTGTTCCTTTGCGGAAATGAACGAGAAGGGCTCTGCCATCTGTATGTCAGTCTCAGAGCGCCCCTGCCACGACAATGTCACGTCTCGAGTAGTCTTACATTTATCTTCCCTGCCCCTCCTTCGATTGTGGTGATATGGGATGAAAGGGGAGATGATGTGTTTGATCTGAGAGCGGGACATGGGCGGACTGACCTTCGTCGATGGAGATGAGAATGTTTCCATCGGGTGAAAGAGCAATACAAGCAATGTTCTTCCTATTCTCAAATGCTAGAGTACTAGATTTGTTACTTGTATGTCAGCTTTGGGAGTCAACCTCGGGGGGGGAGCTCACTTGACAAGGTCGAAGACAGATACTCGATTACCAACTGGACTGAGGACAGAGTTGCCATCGGGTGTGAAGACGACGTTGCCTTGTCGATAGACTGTTCCACATAGGTTTTGGAACACAAAGTTTGCTTTCATTATTCCTCTCTGCTGCTGACCTGACTATAGAGCATAGACCTGAGGTCTGTATGAGAGTACTGGTATTGAGGTATGGTAGATGGACGAGTTTTGAAGTGGAACAGGTTGTGAAGCAGACTTTTCTTCAACATTTTCCCACGGTCGCTCAATCTCCACGCGACTGTCTTTCTTCGATCAACATCTACACTATCACTTTCAACTTGACCTTCATTCATGATGACGACCAGACAACCACTCTCGGCAGCCTCTACCAACCGACCACATGTCAAAGAGAAGAAAACTGAACCTGACAATCTCAAGCTTCAGACGGCTTTGGACGATGCAGCAAATCAAAGACGAAAGAGGGCGGAGGCGGAGGGTGTGGCTCAAGGAGCCAGGAAAGATGCCATTGCCGCTGAGGAAATGGCGGCTCGGTTCAAAAAAGAGGTCAGCTCACTCATACATGTCAAAGCTGACGTTTTAGCTGGAAAAAGCCAAAGCCAGTATTGCGAGGAGAGATGAAGACCTGGCTTCTTTGAGAAAAAAGGCTGGAGACGGTTTGGAAGCACAACTGCAAGAATTGGTCGAGCGACATAAAACCTCGAAATCCAAGGTCTGTCCAGTATTACCTATATAGAATCTTGCCGCTGATGATCAGTGGAAATCCGAAATTGATGATCTACAGAAAGCCAACGCTGACCTCGCCAATCAACTCCGAGATGAACAAAAGAAGCATGGTCTATCAACGGAACAACGCAGAGCGACCGCTTTGATGGAAGCGGAGAATGCGGTGTTGAAGAAGGAAATTGACCGGCTTCGGGCCACTCTGAAGTCCACCAGAAGTGAAGAAGGACGATGGGGGAAGGAAAGAGCTTCATTATTTCATGAGCTCGAATCTTTGAAGCACCAGGTATTTGCTGGTGAGAAGGTCAAGGAAGAGAGAGACGTGTTGGAGGACTTGTTGAACGCTGCTACTCTTACTTTCGCTACAAGCTCCCGTGCGTGGAAGGAGCAGCTGAGAGATGTGAAAGAGGAGCTTATTCTGGAACGAGCGGAGAAGATGTGTTGGAAGACTAGAACGTCAGAGTTGAGAATGAGAGTGAAGGGTATGATGAGGGATTCTCGCATTCTTCAACGACGTTTCGATCTCGTTCTAGCGGAAAACGCGATCTTACATGAGAACCTAAGGTTCCATTGTTGTCCTATCACTCTTCCACCACCCCCTCAATCCGAAACAGTACTGCCTCTCCCTAGCCTGGACATCACACAAGAGTTCCAGATCACTTTCAATCATCTCGACCTCCTATCTGATCATCTTCAATACGTCAAGTCCGACAACGACGTGCTCTTTGCGTCTCTCAAGAGCACCACTGTTTCTCTGGAAAAGGCTGAACAGGTCGAAAGCTCACTTCGAGCTTCCTACGCAGAATTACAGGCTCAACACTCCGCCCTTATTCAAGAACACGAACCATGTGCCGCTCGGGAACTGTCACTGAAGGAAGAGCTCACTCGAGTGCAAGAGGCGGAAAAAGGAGTGAGGGAACAGATGACGGAGATGCATGGTAAAGTCTCGAGAGCTGAACAGAGGGCCAAAGAAGATCGGGAGATGTTAAGAAGGGCAAATGATTCAGCTATGAGGTCAAAAGCTGCCGAAACTGCGTTAGAGGAGGAAGTGCAGAGGTGAGTCTCGCTTTTGTCTTCTGCTCCCGTCTCCCCTTTGGTTAGGCCCATCTTCCATCGTTGATTAGGGATGACCACTGAGGATTTGGAGGGGGAAACGGTCGAGTCCATGGGGGGTGAGATTTGACATGATAGACTCAAAGACGCCCTCTTGCAAGCTGAACAATATCGGGAACTCTACGAAGACCTCGACGAAAGATATAGAATCCTCGAATCTCGCGAAGCCATGGCATTGGACGAAGCAGAGAAATTAGGACATCAAAACGCTCGATTGATAGGTCATGTCAATGGTGATCAGAGGATATCGTATGTTGATAGTGTGAGAAGAGAAATGGCTTTGGTGAAGGCAGTGAGTCAACACGTTCTTCCATCTTCTTGTCATTTCCGAGTGTCTTTCTCCTCTCAAACATACATCCCATCTATGGTACCACTGCATCATCTTCGTTGTCTTGTTCTCGAGGACCATATGTTCCTTCATACATGATAAATATATCAAAATGTTTACTGACTAATAGGAACTTGCAGCAACGCGTACCATGTTGAATGACGCTAACGACCGTATAAAAGATCTCTCAAGGGAAGTAGAAGCTTACAAATCTGTCGAACCTATGGGAATAGGACAAAGAACTAAAGTCGTTCGTCGACAACCTGAAGGAAGTAGGTTGGTGATGAGTACCAATCGGAGTGTTTCCGGTCCTTCTGGATGGAGATGACCTCAACTTCACTGGATCTCCCACCTCTTTCTCATCTCTTTAATCTCTTTGATCTCCTTAATCTGTTTTATCTGATCATTTTGGGACATCTTGCGCGGATCTTTGGGTTATTATCTGTCAGAGAGTGATAATGTAGAATATGTCATGCTTTTTCTTGATCATTGACTTCCCACTTCCACTCTTGCTTCGTGCCAAAGTGCCAAATGTATCAGCAACAGCAACAGCAACAGTCAGTCAACCAATGATCAAATTTGATCACTAGATCAATATTCGAGATGTTGACCCAAATGCATCTTAAACATGCCTATTCCCACACAAACCTCTTTTGACATTTTCCATGAACCACCCATTGTCCCTCCGCCCTCACGAGATATTAACGATTTTGACGCCCTGTAATGCTTACTCCTTCAACGCACGCATGATAGCCAGATTAAGCTCCACGTCTTGTTTAGCATCCTCCGGAGTGGTCTTGAAAGGTGTTCCTTTAGTCAATGCGTCGTACAATACACGTAATTCGATAGTGTATGTATCTTCATGTGTCGGACGATAGACAGAGGTATCTAGATCACCTAAACCTTTAGGAGAAGAGAGGGTGGTCAAGGTTATAGGAAGACCTTTAACGTATGGTCTGAGGAGTCAGATCTGCTGCCAATCTTACTTTGAATATCCTAAGTGCAATACAGAGGATGGTACGGTGGTAAAGATTGTCTAGTTAGCCAAAGGTAGACTGGGAACCAGGTCGTATAGGGGCACTTGTATGATTGTCTTAATGAGGAAGAAATGAGTGATGGTAATCTAATGAGATTGAGGATGAAGGGCTTGGTAAGAAGTGATGGAAGTAGATATGAAGGATGTGATGGAGATGGAAGATAGGCCAACTCACGTATCATATTGTACCTTGATACGTTTATCCCCCGTATGAACCTCGATCTGAGCGTCGAAAATGGGTACTGCGTCAATAGACATCTATCCGTCAATACATATTCTCCCTTCGTCCTCTTAAAACCACCAGTGGTTGACTCCATTCTCAGTCGGTTTTCCTCGGGTAACACAACACAAAAAGCTGTCAACATCCCACGTGTTACCCCACCTAGACAGAGCGGCAAAGACGAAGATTGTTCAGAAAGGGGACAACATTACGAAACCATCGACTCACCTCGTAAAACGCCCTGAAAGTACCATAATCAAACAAAACAGTCCACCAAACAGGTCTTGGACTCCCATCGTCCGGTGCCCTAGCTGCAGCCAAAATCCTCTTTGGCATCCCGATCAAATCACGCATAGCGGAAAGATCGTGACTTGCCAAACTACCAAGAAGGGAAAGACTGGCAATGTTATATTTGCTAGGTTCGAGTTCTGGTAGGTTTTCTTTAAAGTTTCGTACGAGGGCTTCAGCGATACTTGGATCGTTAGGAGGTGTAAAGTAACGTTGATACATTCCGGAATTTTGAGTGAAGTACATGTTCTTTGGGGTTAGTCGTCTTCTAAAAGTCCCAAAATTGAGTATAGCTTAATGAATCTTCCCAATGAGAGATACATTGTCCTTGATGTGATTCTAACGTGTTGTTGATGTTGAGAATGCGTTGATTGAAAAAACGAATGTTTGAGAGGGAAGAAGAGGCGATGATGGAACATACTGAACTCACATTCCCAATAATATCCCTAACTCTAACATATTTGATATCATTCTCATGCCCTTTCAAAATCTCTTTCAATTCTAACAAAGCAGGAGCGTATCGTCTCATATACCCAACGAAAACAATCTTCCCAGTTTCCTTGGATACCTTGGCGATTTTATCACATTCCGCCAAAGTCTGAGCCATAGGTTTCTCGATGAAGACATGTTTCCCAGCTCTAAGTGCGGCTGTAATGTGGGTACAATGGAATGCGTCATTTGTGAGGACGAAAACTAGGTCGATTTTAGTTGGGGAAGCTAGAAGTTCTTTACTAGAGGTTCAGTGTGGTTCAAATTCCACTTGACTTCCAAAGCTATCATAAACCTCTTGGGTCCCGTTGCGTTCATGACACTACCACCCTCCTGATTCAGTACAATGGAGCACCTTCCAACTCCAGATCCCTGATGCGACGGGCTTTTTTAAGTAGAAGAACATCCAGTCAAATGCCAAGACATTCAATCCCGGACATTCCGGCCCGGACTAGCAATGTTAAAGAACACGATGACGGTGATGGTGAGAGAAGACAAGAAAGTGTTGTACTCACTAATCCGTATAAACCTCTTTCACATGAAATTTCTCCCCACAATGTTGAGCAGCCTCCAATGAGATATCACAAACGGCTACGACATTGTACATGTGATTGGCGAGTTGAAGATTTGGGATCTGACCATGAGTTTATCTTTCTATCGCCTTCTTCTTCTCACCATGGTAATTCCCTCAAATAATGGTCGGTTGTAGGGATGATGCTGATGGAGAGAGCTGGAGAAGCAGTAGAAGACATGAATTTGCCCCTGATGGCCGAACTGGCAGAGCTAGAGGAGATACGATGGAATCCAGCAGACTCACATGTGCAACTTGAGCCACTTCCCCACATCCCAACACACCAACATTGAACACGGGTCCTTCAGAGATAAACGGTTTGAGCATCGGGATGGGTTTTCCTGTCATCTTGGATATGGACGTCTGGGTACTTGTATGTCTAGACTGGTCGCTTGATGCTGCGCGCTGGAGTATGGGGACGGAGTGAAAGAAGCAGGGGATGGGGTATGGGTCGGGGTACAACCCCGGGAGCTCCGGTCCGTGTCCGCGATTACTCCGTGTGCCCCTTCGAGTGTTTGTGGGGCTCCATTATCCATACACTATGCAACTGCGATTTACGTGACTGTCGACTTCTTCTGTAAGTACATCAATGAAAGTTATTCAGACGAAACTGACGAGTTTTAGAAGGAGGAGATAAGTTGAAGCACGTTTTACATGTTACATGTTACACTCGATCGATGTGACTTGATGCCAAGTGTGACACGATGAAACGCAACTATGAACACCCCCCAATCTTTCCCCTTTCGACGTCACAGCCGGCGGCAATCTCATCAAAACCATCCTTTGACTCACACTCCATTCCTATATCTCATCCTCTCGCTTCTGACTCTCATCCTACATCTACTCCAACAAGTGACACCACTTTTATTCATTCATACAGACCTCGTAAAAATCCACGAAAACGAAAAATGTCACATACACCAGGTAGAGATTCTCATTTCGTTCATCCTAGAGCTATGGCCTTTGATCCTTTACGACATCGTCCACATAAAACTATGATTTTATTCTTACAGGCTCTAATGGCTACTGCTCTTTTTAGGATCTGGCCTACTTTGTTGTTCATGGGTGGTTGGGCGACTATGGTGGTTTGTGTTTCGAATTATACCACAGCCAATTTAGGTGTGCCGAGTACTTTACTCACCGCTTTGGGTGGGTTTCATTGATCCTTTACACCCTTCCTATAACTGTCAAGCATGGGTCTCTTACTAGTTCTCTTAATAACGCGGCGAGTCTGGGTAACTGATCTTCAGGTGTGGTTCTCGGTCTGACCTTGAATTACAGGTGAAATTTACTGGCTCTTTACGAGGGAAGTGCTGACAGGTTTACAGAACATCGTCAGCGTATGAACGATATACGGAGGGTAGAAGGATGTGAGTAGATTCTGGCCGATGACTGTGGAGCTGCTAGCTGCCTCGTATAGCTGACACGTAGGTGGTCACAGATCACTCTGGCATCAAGAACATGGGCACGGATCGTTTGGATACACTGTACGTCTACACCACCTCTCGCTGTCGCACGCTGAAGATAAGGCCCCGATACATCAACTCCTACCCCTTCCACAGACCCAGATGTGCGAGCTAAAGATCAAGTTAGATCTGAGATTGAAAAGGCTACGATAGTTCAGATGGCTCTGGCGTTCGCTGTGTCTGTGAAGCATTATCTCCGCGGGGAGGAAGGAATGTGAGTTCTGGCGACTTGTCACCAGCTCTCCTCCCTTTGTAGAATGAGTGCAACAAGTAGGAGTCCGGTGACCGTATGTTTTAGGGACTGTAATAGAGTGGCTAATAGTCCAGCTACTACGAAGATCTATACGATCTAGTCAACTTCATCCCATCCCTTCACCTCCCTTCTGGTCTGCCTTCATCTCAAGACGCAAACATCAACATCGGTCGTCCTCCTACTTCTAACTACAACACATCCACAATCAGCACTGTTCGTTCGTCCGAATCCAAATCTCCTTCTGATACACCTCTCGAACCGATCAACCCCAGCATGACTCCACATTCCGCCAACCATAACGCCTCATACGACCGACCGTACCTGATGCCGGCTATGAACCCTCCTAAATTTCATCTTTCCTCAGTATGGCCATTCAAATATTTCCGAACACGACATCAATCTTCCACTCACGCAGCACGTAAACTTATGCGTCGTCAAGCTCAATCGGCAGATGACAATCATAACGTGCCATTGGAGATAACGCTCTACATGTCCACTTATATCTACGCGCTTCAAAGAAGAAAAACCACCGATGTTCCAACGCTAAACGCGTTAATTGCAGCTTTGGCTCAAATGACGGACGCTTTGTCGACTTTGGAACGAATCTTGACGACACCCATTCCTTGGAGTTATAACGCGCATATATGGGAGGTCAGTTGGATGTATTGTTTGTTCCTACCTTTTCAACTGTACGAAGCGGGTTTCGGATGGGTGACGATACCTGCTGTGATGGTGAGTGATGTCCCCTCTTCCTTTTCATTGTCAATAGTCTCCGTCCACTTTTCTGCCACTATAAAAACAATGCTTCTTCACGGGGGCAAAGACGGTGCTCATGAAAAGTTGACATCTTATGTCATAATTGGTATACTTGACATTGGAGGTGAAATTGAAAATCCATTTGGGTACGACAAGAATGATCTTAACCTTGATTTCTTCACCGAGGAGATTATCCGTCGTGAACTCGCTGCGGTCATTTCCAGACCCGTCCCGTTGGCAGAAGAATGGATGTTCAGCCCTCACAACCGGGTCATAGGGGGTGTGAGTGTGCAAGAGTTGGAAAGGGGTGGAATACAGGAGGTGAGAAGGAGGTTGAGAGGGATGTGTGAGGGGGTGGATGGGCGTGTTTGATGGATCGTTCAGTCTATCGGTCGTGACTCTGACCTAAGTCGAGCAAACGGCTCGCGGCTCGTCCGACCATCTGTATGCGGTATGCTATAGGAGGTACATGCACATACTTGCATATTCAAGATCCGTCGATGGCGGATGATGCGGTCCTCAACTCTTGGGGGCTGGGGAAGGGCGGGATCGGTGGGGAGAAATGATGGAATGGGGAGAGAAGGGCCGCTGTCCATCGGCCATCGGCCATCGATGGTTGACGCTTAGTAGTTAGATCGGACGAGATAGAAGGGTCCATATTATCCCCTTTAGATGCTGGAGTTGGAATAGTTTACATGTCATCGCATGGTCGTTTGATACAAATACACTCCGTGATGTTCGATATCAACCAAGAGAGTAAGACTGGCGAGTGGTTGATCTACCATTTGACTGACCCGAGTCAAAGCACCGAAATACAGTAGTAGTCGTGCTCGATCTGTGTTTCCCACCAATGAGGTCCGATTGTTGCCGGCTCCGGAATTGTCGGAGTGACCGGACGTCGAAATGACGGTTACCCGATCTTGGGATCGTGGGCAGTGGAGCATTCCATCCCTCCCCTCTCTATATAAACGATAAAGCCTACAAAATACTATTTCTATCTATCCCCTCCTCCCATCCTACATCTACAATCCCCATCCTGGCCATAATTCTCATCCATACAGGTACTACCCCTTACACCATCCTGCAGTCAACTCATTACCCCCCGATACGCCTTGTAGGAACATGTCCACCCCTTACATCGGGATATACGGAGCAACATCCTTCACAGCTAGCGAATGTCTTACATACCTATGTTCTCATTCTGAGAAAGATAAATTTCAACTGAGTCTGGCAGGAAGAACTCAATCAAAGTTGGATAAAGTGGTATCAGATTTGAATGAGAAGATAGAGACTGTCGTGTTGCTTTTGACCGATGAACAAGGTGTGAAGGAATGGGTTAAGAAATGTCAGGTTGTGATCAATTTTGCTGGTGAGTTTGCGTCTAACCCTAAGTATCATGTTCTCTCTTTTATCTGATCCATCTGATTCAGTTGAGACCATACAACTCTCATTAGTGAGGTAGCTCCACGGAATGTATCTGGTTACAATTGATACGCAGGAGAGAGAGAAAGAGCGGGGGGAGGGAGGAACTGATAATTAGGTCCGTACGCTTTATACAATGCTGAAGCTTTGATCAAGTGAGTTGTCATCTTCCTACCCTTCTCAATACACATCTCTCAATATCAAAACGTATGACCCTAGGATACCAATCAACCTGAACTTTTACAGTACAGTCCCTTCTCTATCAGATACGACCCATCTTGCGTTGATTTTCTTGCAAAGATCTTCCGGCTTGTCTAGGGGATGGGAAAAAATGTGTGAAATCTATTCTAACATACTCAGAGCTTGTGCAGAACACGGTACACATTATGTTGATGTCTGCGGCGAAGCCTACTTCGTTGCTAAGATGATTGAGAGGTATCATGATACCGCTAAGAAAACAAAAACATGTATTGTACCAGCTTGTGGATTTGATGCTGTTCCGAGGTTTGTCGTTTTTCTCCCTATCTCGTTCATCTCTTCAAACTCTCCACTTTTCTATGTTCTCTATTGCCTGTCCTAATCTACAAATAGACTTCGTGGTCGAATTATCGAAGCGACTTATGTTCCCTATGTTTCAAAATACATTGATCTTCGTTCAATACCTCTCAAGAATGAAAGTCACGATGACTAACCCTCAGTGATCTCATCGTCTATCTCGCTCGACAAACTCTTCAGAACTCTCACCCTTCAGCCCGTCTGACCAAATCAACGACTTTCTTCTCCGTACGTGGTACAGTATCAGGAGGAACAATAGCCACACTTCGATCAACTCTTTCACTTCCTCCTTCTCAACGCGGAGGTTCACAATGGTCTTTAATACCTCTCACCCCTCCCACTAGTAAAACAAAATGGCCAACATTCGCAGCGACTGAATACGTACCAGGTACTAAAGAAAAACTATATGGTGCAATTTTCCCTTTCGCACCGTTCGATAAAGCCATAGTGAGAAGAAGTTGGTATTTCACACTTTTGAATGATGAGAAAGATCCAGAGTTTAGGTATGAAGAATATGTGAAGATTGGATCGGTCTGGTTAGCTTGGATTGTTTCTTTAGGTGTTTATGTGTTTTTTGGGTTATATTTCTTTGTTCCTTTAGTAAGTTCTTCTTTTCTGCTCTTGACGAAAAGGTGTTTGGTGAGAAGAGTGACTTTTGTTATTTTGGATATGGAGTCCTGTTTGAAGAGAGAATGGGCAATTTCTTCATCCACAGTTCAGCTTGCTGTTGGTGCAAAAGGACGAGATCCGGAATATAGGGAGAAGACGATGGGGGGGGGGGATTGCAGAACAGGGAGGGAAGTGATAAATTGACTAATGTTCAGTTCAGAAAACTTGTCGATAGGTTCTTACCCCAACCTGGCCAAGGTGCCACTCTTGAGAAAAGAAGAAAGGGTTGGGCTAGATTGATAAACGTTTCTCACACTACGACCAACGTGAAAGTGATCACTAAGTTGTTTGCGAAAGGTGATCCGGGATACATCGCTACTTGTTGTGAGTCATCCCTCTCCCCTCATCTTCACCTCACAATCACATACCATAATCTTTTTTTTATGGGTAGTGAAGTGACCAATGCATTAAGCGAGTGTATAGCGAAACGAAGGAAGTCCTTCTCGTCTGAGAGAGGAAGGGGTGTATCATCTGAAAGACACATACTTATCATTAGACATGTGTGCAGAATCAGCTTTATCATTAGTACTCCCTCCTCCATCCGGAACCTCTCTTCCTGATATCGCTCATCAAGGAGGTGTCTTGACTCCCATGACTGCTTTAGGGGATGTTTTAAAGGAACGATTGAAACGGAATGGGGTCGTGGAAGTGGAAAGTGAGTTGGTGATAGATTCTGGACACTGAGAGGGTGCAATAATCAAGGGGAAAGTATGGACTCGGCTCCCTACGGAGTCTTTTCTTTTTAAAGTGGATGGAATATGCTGTTTAATTTGGGTCATCGAAGGGTTTGATAGCTACTTGGGTCAGTTTGGATTCAGATGTTTGACAGATTACATATATCATTTTGGACTGGAAGTTTTGAATAGATACAGTGGAATTTTGGTATATGACTACTTAGTAGATTAGGAATACATGAAATTCATTCTCGTTTGATAATAGATTCAGCTGAACATTCGTTCCCACTGATATTATAACTTGAGACATATTTCTTTATATCATGCTGACTTGAAAACTATCTTCGGGGTTTTGATTGAATGACACGGATTGATCATTCGGAAATAGTTGATGAAGAGATGAATCCTATTGATAAGTTTGTGTCATGTATGAATGAAGTTCGAATCTCAATCGAGCAGACGTTCAATAATACTCTCTCCAGATTTTGAACCCAGGATCACTATCACCTTGCCAAAACCCATCAGGAAGATTTAATATAGCACATGCTACTTCTTGTTCTTCTTTTGGTCTTTCCCCCATACTATCTCTTGAAACTTCAGAACCTCTTAACTCTCCTTCACTCTCTTTTGACATTCTTGACCTTCCTACACTCCCTTTTGATACTTTTGACCTTTCTTCACTATCTCTGGCCTCTAACGAATCCCCCTTTCCCTTTCCCTGTTCAATGGAGTGCGACACCAACAAATCTTCCTCTCCCTCCTCATCTATAGTACTCAACCTTCTCGGTACTCGTACTCTCACAGGTGATTTCTCCCAGATCGGAGTTGGATCAGGAGGTGTACAATCTGATTCCTCTGAAAACTCCTCGATAGATTCTATACTTTCTACCGTTTTCTGAGAATCTGCAACATCGTTATCGTTTTTCCCCATATGAACTGACTTTCCACTTTTTGTTACAGACAATTTGGAGTTGTACCCAATTCCTCGAGTGGAAGTTTGGATCGATGATCTAGATGGGAATGATAATGCGGTTTTGTACAACAATGCAGCATTGGCCGAAATGGGTTGTTTCCTAATGGGTGGAGGAGGAGGAGGTGGTGAGGGAGTGGTACCGTATGAAGTCCATGTCCATGATTCATTAGATCTCTGACTTTGACGTTCACTTTGACTGGTTGGATAGTAAGATGAAGTTGAATTAGTAGATGAGTTCACTTGATCATTGATTTGACTGGAGATGATTTGAGATTTTGAGGAATTGCCGGGAATGTTTTCGTCATTCACACTATCATCTTCCGTTTCGATATCGGCGGAGTGAAGAATCTTTTTCGCTTTCTTGGAGCGTTGAGAGAGAAGTGTCTTATGTTCTTGTGGGGGTTTGGTTACGTTGTTGTGAGAAGATGAAGTCAGAACAGGGTGAGTATGGATATTATTCGTCCCACGTTTAAAAGACCTTGATTCTGCCACGGAGGTCGGAGGTGTACGGGTGACAGGTGAAAGACGGAGTTTCTTACTGTATATCCGTTGAGAGGATTTAGAACTCAAGGTGGACTCCTCCGGCGTTGGAGCACGCATGACTCGTCTAGGGTTCACCACATCTCCAATCTGTGAGGTGGACTACCCATTAGCTTTTTCAGAATATTGGATTTCAATGGAATAACTTACTTTGACTCTGGGAATAAGTCTGATGTTATCATCTGACTCGATCTCTCTCTTTCTCTTCAACTCTCTTTCGCGAATTTGCAGGGAACGAATATCTTCCTCTTCCTCTGCCTCCAGGTCCAGGTCGGGGGAAGAACCCAAGTTGAGATCGTCCGTCTCTACATCTTGCTCCGAGTCTATTTCGGCGTATCTCGTCAGATTTTGAGCTATGGTCAGCGCCTCGGCAAGTAATCGTCTCTGTCGCGGTGTGACAATTAGTCGCGAGTGTCCACTGCTAACGTCGGAAGAGTCACGAGTTGTCTTGGGCGAGATGGGGACATTCTCCATCTGCGTGGACATGGACGGGTCGTCTGTGGTCGTCGCGATGGAAGGGCTGGTGACAGAGGTAGGTTGGATAGGAAGTGAGGTATGTACCAGGGATGATGGTCTGGTTTGAGCTGGAGCTGAGATAGGGCGATGGATGGAAGACTTCAGGATCCCACGTGGAGGAATAGCGGTACTTTTATGAGTAAGAGGTGTCGACATTGGAGCTGTCTCGGATGAATCGCTCTCTGACCCTTCTCCTGGATAGATGTGTTCTCTATGTGGTGTGGCCATAGGCACACGAGGGACATCAGACTGAGTCACTTGATTTAATGCGACTGTAGAGGGGTGAGCAGGATGAGATACGAATGTGTCGACACCTTGTTGGTACTTCGACATGGGAATTCGGGCAAATCGTGGAAGATTATCAACTTGAAAGGAAGGAATCTCATTGATCTCAGGAGTCGGACGGAAACGGACTTGTTGGAGAGGGTTCTGGTTGTCAATATTACGTTGTCCGCGAGAAGCTTGCAGTGATTGATTTAGACATGGTCGGCCAGGAAGGGGATGAGAGGTAGACGATGTCATGGACATCTTCGTCGTAGGGCTTCTCCATCCAGATGGAACAGCAGGAACGTGTTCGTGGATGGCAATGTTACCTTCATTATTGAATAATAAGCCAGATTGGGAATGAACATCCTGCATTCGATTATGCGATGCTTGCGGTAGAGTGGATGGACCGGTCTTGCGCCAGGCGTCTTGCCACGAATTGAGAGGGACAGTCCGATCCGCGATGGGTGTAGCTCGAGGTTGAGTCGGAAGAAGAGGAGTCATAGAATCATGTGGGCGGAATGCTTCCAATGCATGTTGGTCGTATTTGACTTGTGAGACTTGTTGCCTATCACGATTGACGATTTCTTTCAACCAATCGGGAGGTTCTTGTATGCTAGGTAGGACCACCTATCTCTCAGCTTAGCCTCTCATCTAGACTATTCACTTACTGGTGCTGATTGAATATCACATAAAGTGATACTTTTCTTCACTCTATCGGAGCTGATTCGGGATGGGCGTTGGGTACGCCACGACTGTCGCTCGTCCTCTTTATCTACCTGAAGAGAAGGCGTCGCTTCCTGAGGTAGGACTGTGGAGTCCAGTGAGTAAGGTTTCCCGCGGATACTACGAGATCGAGTGGAGTTGGCGAATTGCCTATCAAACTTTGCATTGAGGGATGGGCGTGGACGAGGTCGATGAGGGGTAATGTAAGACCTGTGAGTCAGTAGATGGTGAGATTATCAAACAAGTGACTTTGCCTAGAAGTGTAGGTACGTTCTTGAGTTAGATTGTATAAGAAGGGCATATTGGGTCTCTCGAAAAGCGTCAGTGGTATCAGGATATTCAGCTTTGAGCATGAGCTATCAGCAAGAGATGGATGTAATGTTGAGAGGTGAACAAGTGTGAAGCGCAGAGAGAGGTAGGGGGAGGAAGAGGAAGAGGAATGGGGGAAATGAGCGGCGGTGTCCGCTCTTATGACGCGTGTTACTTTCACTGTGCGCGCTGTGCAGAAGAGAGCACTTTTGACTGCGAGAGTCAAACCCATCAAAGGGGCTTCACCCCTATTTCTGCTTGTATCGTGTTTCCAAACTGTCTCTCTTGCTCCCTTTACCTCTTATCTCTCTACCTTACTGTCCTAGATCTATAGAAGGGTGAATCCTGGTGGTTACGATAAGACGAAAAGATTCTACTCTACAGTACCTACAGTGCCTAACTTACCGGATTCAGACACGGACGCTTTGATCGTCAGACGCAAGTTTCATTTCGTCATCGTCACTCAGCAACGTCACTCTTCTTCACCCACACCTACCATCTTTCACAACTTTCACTTGGGTGTTCTATTTTGAAAGAGATACGGTCTACAGTGGGTGCCGACTTTGATTCGGCTACATATCAATACTCGAAACGACCCAAAACAAAACAGCCGTCATGTCCAACACCACCTCAGTCACCAGTTCCGCCTCGGCTGCCTCTAGTAGCGCCGCCGGGTTGGTCGATACCCATTCTAACCCTTCCTTCAAGATTGTCGGTATATGTCTTGCAGTGGGGAGTGGATTCTTCATTGGGACTAGTTTTGTGGTCAAGAAGAAGGGTTTGTTGAGAGCCACGGCAAAATATGGAAATGGGGCGGGGGAAGGACATGGGTATCTGAAGAGTGTTTTATGGTGGACAGGGATGATCATGATGATTGTTGTGAGTCGATTTGTGACATTACATCTCCCTCTACATACAGTCGTTCCACACTAGTCTCTTCTTGTTGCTTAGGCAGACTAGAGGTCCAAGTCAACCCATAGAAGCGGTCATTTGAAGATGGTTTCCGACGAGGTGTTGTGACCGGATTGCTAACGACACCACAGGGAGAGATCCTGAACTTTGTAGCTTATGCTTTCACAGAAGCTATCTTAGTCACCCCCATGGGTGCGCTTTCCGTTGTCATATGTGCTATCCTGTCCCATTTCTTCCTCCGGGAGACGTTGACATTCTTCGTACGTCCCTCAAAACCTTCCCACGTTGTCCTTTCACCTATCCTTCCTTTCCTTCTCCTTCACCGTTCGCCCCAATGTTCAGAAGGACATATCGCTGATGAACAGGGATGGATAGGCTGTACACTTTGTATCATAGGAGCTACCATCCTCGCTCTCAATGCTCCAGAACAACAATCCGTCACCACCATAGAAGGCTTCAAACATCTTTTCCTCTCTGTGGGATTTTTAGTTTGGGCAGGGGTGCTCAGCGCTACTTCTCTCGTGTTGGTCTTCTACGCCGCCCCGCGATGGGGAAAGAAAACCATGATCATTTATATCGCTATCTGCTCTTTGATCGGGGGGATCAGTGTCAGTTGTACTCAAGGATTGGGAGCTAGTATCGTTACGAGTATACAGGGGTGAGTCATTGCATCTTCGGATGAGTGATACTGACCTGGAAAGGGACAATCAAGTGAAGAACTGGTTCTTCTGGTTTTTATTCGTCTTTGTGTGAGTGTTTCGTTAGTATTTCCACAATGGCTGACGAGATAGGGTTATCACTCTTTTGACAGAGTGAGCCGATATGCAGTTTTATGCCATGACGCTGATATTGTAGGATCAATTATCTCAACAAAGCTTTGGAATTGTTCAATGTAAGCGCATTCTCCTCCTTGCTTCCACACCCCAGTACATGTCTTTTTGTTGCTCTGGCCGATGCACTCTCTAGATCTTGATAAACAATCCTTGCTGATGTCCAGACATCGATGGTCGTCCCTGTTTACTTTTGTTTCTTTTCTTCTTCCTCTCTCATAACCTCGTGAGTCGTCGAGATGCTCCACCTGAAAGATCGAGTCACTGATGTCAGGTTCATCCTCTTCCAAGGTCTCAAAGCCTCTGCTATAACACTCATCACCATGGTCCTCGGTTTCTTGGTCACTTGTCTAGGTATCACCCTCTTGCAACTATCCAAAGTCGATCCCAAACAATTGTCCAAACTCGACCGCAGATCTACCATGCTCCTGGCAGCAGCTCGACATCCCACCGAGGAGAACGAAAAAGGCGAGGTCACCGCGTTGGAGGATCCTGGTATGGATGCGCTTCGAGGTGGATTTGGAGCTGTGGGAAGTATTATCAGAGCTAGGACGGCAAGTCGGAGATTCAGCAATGCCAGTAGTTTGGGCACGGGTTGGGGTTCTCAACCGAACAATCTGAGCACTCATGGGATGGGCAATGTTCAACGGTTCCAATGTGAGTCGGTAATTTGAACGAAGCAGGGTTCTTGGCCCCGCCATGAATGCGGGTAGAAGCTGACATGAAGTGTCCGACAATCCCATGCCTGAAGATGCCATGGACCAGATTTCTTTGCACAGCAAGAGTCCGACCGGAACGGCGGGTTCTGGATTTGGTTTCCGGGGTTACACCATATCCTCTGATTCTCCTCGGAGGTCGAAGAGTCATATCAAAGTGAGTCTCAGGCTTCGTTGTTTGCGTATTCTACCCACATTTTCCTGAAGAAGAGTGCGCTCCGTGTGTGGTTACCTGTTCAGCGATATGACGGCGGATCGGGATATTGAGCTGACTCGCTGCAGTTCGAAGACCCTAATGTGAAACATGACTTCCCTCGACACGACAGCATCATTGAAATTCCTTCCGCCCAATCCGAAGTACCCACTCTCATTCTCCCTTCTAGATCCCAACGACAACATCCCGTTTCCCCTATGGAGGATATCGCAGAAGATGAGAATGAAAAATCTTCTAGACCTCCCAGTCGATTACTATCACCTGCACCAGCTTCTGCTCCACCTGGTCAAACAAGATACATAGATCCCCATGAATTTCAAAAACCCTCACACGAACCTCAAAGTGCCAACCTCGGATTACATCAATTACCCCGATCAACAAGTAGAGGCCTGAGTGGTCTGTTCAGTTTTGGTTCCGGTCCCGATCTGGTACTAGGGAAGAAGAAGACTTCTTCGGACGTTTCGAGTCAAGGAGAAGTGAGGGGCGGATCACATAGAGGAACTAGAGATTATCCCCATTTACCTAAAGAAGACCGTGAGAAGGAACATGATGAACGTTTGGCGTTGGTTTCGCCAGATATGGACGATTTCGAACATGATTCAGAAGAAGAGAGGGGGAGTATGGATTTAGGTGAGAGAGCTGTGGTTGTGCAAGCTAGACGATTACCTGAAGTTCCGAGGAGACCTAAAGATGAAGAATGAGGGGTTATGAGGGGTCATGAATGTGGAGACTGTGTAGGATAAGAGTATATCTGATATCTGATTTAGAGATGTTTATCCAAATGTCATCTTGGTATGCAAGGGTTGTACTGTACGAGCGATGAATTTGACGCACGTGACTTATGTGGGGGAGACGGGTGGGTTGAGTGGGGGAATCGGAGGGGAATGAGATGGCGTATCCGATCGAATTAAGGTTTGTCTTTAGGTATTGACAAACTAAAAGGTAAAGTAAACTACTTTACTCGTTAGGCCCGATCCCTCTCCTTGCTCCTTGCCCCTAGGTGCATGCATTGCTTCCTTGTCAATGCACCATGCACCCCTCCTACACCCACACACTAAAGCCAAGTTTTTGCTTCCTTGACAATGACTAAATGCTTTACTTTTACTTCTGTCTCCTATACACAACACATTGTACCCACTACCCGACAAGTGAGAGAGGAAGAAGAAGATAGGTGACTACCAATCACCACTGCCCGTGCTGAAAAGGACTCTCACAACGCTTGGACCGTTTAGAGCATTGCCGTTGGACAATCGATATCTCCTACCTTCCCTCCTACACTACTGGTCCTTTTGGATCCGTCTTTCACATCTGTCCCTCTACCCCTCTACCCATCCGACGGTCGATTGTAGAAGGGACTCACACTTCTCTATCACTTTCGATTCTCCTGACTCTCCCCTTTGTCGATCTTGAGTTTGATCCCTCATCAACCACCAAACGATTATCTCTTCAAGTAGTCGATTGGAACGATTTTTCACTCCTTTCAAAAGTCGATCTTCACCTGTCATCCCACATTCATACCCCTTATCCACACTTCCTACGAAAACCGCTCATCCCTTTTTACATACACGAAACAAGTATCCTAATACCCATTTCCCAACATGTCATTCTTTCGTCGGTCTGTACCTCAAGAATCTTCATCTTCAATCTCCACCCAAACCCAACAAGGGTCAAGTCGAAAGACTTCTGACCCAGTGTCTTCTCATTCTACCAAGAATGAAACGTTGATCATTTCACCTGATCTCAAGAAGAAAAGAAGGTTGATTCCACATGCTAGCGATTTACATATCTCACCAAATCGTTCAAGATCCCGTTCGAGACCTGAATCACATTCACATGGTAATGTTGAACATGATGGATCTGCACCTCTTGTTCCACCTGTCCCCGATGTTTCAACTTCTACCATCACACCTTTCCCCGTAGTCTCACCAATCCCTCCGATTCGAACCGTCGACTTCGCTATGAAATGTAAGAAAACAATGGATGAAGATGAAGATAAAGATTTTGAAGATTTTCCTTCACCTATACAAGCAGGTCTTTCTTCTCCTACTCGTATCCCCCCTTCACCTCGACATGGTTCAGATGGAAAAATTCGTCATTCGCCTCGTCGATCAGCTCGTATACCTACTCCTGATCAAACCGAAAGACGTAAAAGAACCACCTCCAATTCTTCTACCAATTCCAATCCTCCATTCAGAGGAAAGAAAGTTTCTCCTTTAGCTAAACGTTTAGGTGAAGAACCACCTTTCATGTTACCTCATCCATCCCAGGTTAATCCTCACACGGCTCAAGAATACCCAGGAGTGGTCATTGGTGCATTTACAGGAGGAAATGAAGGTGGTTTGAATTTCGGACCGGACGAAATGAATATGGATGATATTCTCGATCCTACGAGAAAAGGGGATAGGAACGGTAGTTTATCAGGTCCAGCAGGAGCGAATATAGCTCCTTGGTTGACTGATGATCCCACTTTATTATCTTCCCCAATTTCACAAGATCACAGACAAACACCAGAAATGCAGGAAGGAGAGAGTAGATTGGAAAATGTTCCACCTTTATCTCGAGTCCCAAAAAGATCTGGAACCATACAAGCTTTATCACATTTCGCTTCAGTACCGACTTTACCAAGGATAAGAAAAGGACATGAACCTCTTACAGAAACGGAATCTTCTCATGCGAGTTCATCACGGAGTGGTAGTCAACCGAATATATTTCCTGGAGAGGAAGGGAGACAGAGGATGAGTAGTACAACAAGTACTTCTGGGGAAAGTATGAATACACTTTCTGCTTCACAGAGAGGAAAAAGGGATAGGAAGAAGTCGACTGCACAAGTTGATTCACCAGGATTGGCTTTGCCACCATCTAGACATGGGAGTGTAGCACCTTACAGAATTGCGAGGTTGGGAAGTGCTGTATCTAATGGTTCAACGTCGGGGAGTATGACAAGTGACAGGAAGAAAGGTTTTTTGGGAGGTTTGTTGAAACGGAAAGCTACAGGTGTGGGAGGGAGTGAGTATTTTCTTGGGTACCCACATTGTTCTCCACATCATCGTTTCCAGGATCTTCAGCGATCATTAGACATAAACGTTTACCTACTCAGGCCATAATGAAAGGTGTTCGCTGACGACAGCCCTACCTGGTCCTGGGGCAGGTCTAGATTTCACTCCCGATGGTTCGATCCGTGGTTCTGGTTCCGTCTCGACGAACAGTCGTATGTCCGGTGGTAGTACTTTCGACTCGTTACGAGGTCGAGGCCAGCAATTACATCCCATTGATCCTTCTACCGTGCAGGCCTATCAAGAAGAGAACGACGGATTGATCTCGCCGCATCAAGAAGTCAACGAGTTTAAGCTTGACATGAACCTGGATGATATGGAAGGTATCGTCGATCCCACGCTTGCAAATCAACCTCCCACTCAACCTTTCCGTCCTCCTCTACCTCGTCTCATCCCACCCCCCGGTCCTGCCGGTGCACTAGGTTTGTCAGAACCTCAAAGCCATATGTTCCTCCAAGACGCACTACATGCTACTGGAGGATACGCACCTTGGTCGGATCATGGTACATCTACCACCTCGGCCACTTCTGCTTCCATACCATCTGCATCTGAAGGAGACAGACAATCTGGGCCTTTTGGAAGACATAATCCCAATCCATTCCAATCCAGTTCCAGTGCAGAAAGTACAGATTCCAAACCTCGCACCCCTCCGTCTCCATACAGTGTGTCCCCCAAACATGCTACACCATTTGGAAGTCAACCTCGTCGACCATCACAATTACGCAACGTCAAAATGGGTTCTATAGATTCGGAAACTTCTTCAGGATCTCGTGATGAAGGGAATATACAACCTATTGCTCCATCATGGGCAACAGCCCCTCCTGCTCAAATCACCCTTTTCAATGATCCTTTTGGCGCTCCCCCTCTGACAAACGGTGCGAACCCAGCACTACTCCTTCCGCGAATCGAACCTCAAGCTCCGATGCCCACACTACCATCCGCTACTGCCGCTTCGTGGGCCGCCCCGGAATCATGGGGCGTAGAAGCGGATGAAGTTCCAGAGGCTGACTCCACGTCGTCTGATGAAGATTGGGTGGAGGAGGAACCGAAAGAGCAAACGCCATTGACAGCTATCAAAGAGACTTCATCGTTTGCGGTCAAATCTTTCTCGGTCAATGGTTCACAGAATCTCAAGGTGCAAGGTAGACCGGGAACACAAGGAAGTATAGGGAGTAAGAACAGGACGAGCGGAGGCAGGCAAGGGAGTGCAAGACCTAGAAGTTCAGGAAGACCAGGGACAAGTGGTAGTATACAAGTCAGTACTGTTCCACACAAGATTCGGATTTATCGTGCCGATGGGTCATTCTCCATCCTCGCTTTTCCTATCATGACTACCACGGCGGAGATTATCAGTGTTTTATCTGGTAATGCCGATGGTGGTGGTGGTAAGAAGGTCACTTCTCATATGAAGTTATATCTTCGTGAACGTGGACAAGGTCAGCTCTGTTCACTTGTCATTGAGTCATTCATGCTGATGAGACAGATCGTCAATTGCAACCCTTCGAGAAACCACTCGCTATCCAAAATCGACGCCTTTTACAGGCTGGCTGGACAGAAGCCGAACCTTTGGAGGAGATTGGTAAAGATGACCTGGCAATTTTGTGTAGATTTATCTACCAGACTCCAGCATTGCCAGTGATGGATCCGGTAAGTTCCAAGTCGCGTTGAGTTTGAAGCTGACTTGTCAAGGAGGAAGAAAGTCATTACGATTCTTTCGAATTTATCGATCTGGCCGGCAGAGATCTTCAAACCATTCCTATTTTCCTTCATCTTCACGCTCACAACATTATCATCCTCAACATATCTCGGAATCCCATGACGGACATCCCACTGGATTTCATCCAGGCCTGTACCGGGTTGAAGGAATTGCGAATGTCCAACATGGCTCTCAAACGTATTCCAGCTTCCGTACCTGCCAGCACGACTCTTGCTCGATTGGACGTTTCGTGTAACCGAATCGCGGATCTCGAATCAGTCCCATTGCACGAGATCCAGTCTCTTCTCTCACTCAAGTTGCAGAATAACAGGTTGATATCGATTCCAAGTTATTTCGCCATGATGCGAGGTTTGAAATACCTCAATATCTCCAATAACAAATTCGACACTTTCCCTCGTGTCGTATGCGAAATGAGTAATCTAGTCGACTTGGACATCTCTTTCAATGAAATCGCCGATTTACCCAGTGAAATGTCCAATTTGAAAAGCTTGGAACGACTCATGGCATTTGGAAATGAGATTTCCACCTTTCCCCAGAGTTTCAGTACCTTGGCAAATTTACGAATACTCGATGTGCGGCGGAACAAATTGGTCGACCTCACTTCCGTCTATGCCTTACCTAATCTCGAAACGCTACAAGCCGACTATGGCAATTTGGTCACCCTCGACCTCCAGATAGGAGCTCGGGTTCGACAATTCTCAGTTCCACACAACTCGATCACCCGATTCACCCTCGCTCCTCTGCCAGGTGTGGCAGCTCGGACCTATTCTCTTACTCATTTGAACCTATCCCACGGGAAGATTTCCACCTTGGCGGATGAGGCTCTGAGCGGATTGGTCAATCTGATCGATCTAAATCTCAACTTCAACCAGTTCACACGTCTTCCACCTACCATGGATAGACTTACAAGTCTACAAATTTTCAGTTGTACAGATAACCTCCTCGAGTCGATCCCTCAGGGATTCGTCAAGATGCAATCGTTGCATACGATCAACTTACACAATAACAACATCAAAGATCTTCCTGGTGATTTATGGGGTTGTGGATCATTGAAATCGATCAACGTGTCGTCAAACTTACTCGAAGCTATCCCCGAACCACCTGCAAACCTCTTTGAAATGATCCCTGCTGAAACGAGACGTAGGATGTCGGTCGATTCCAATAGCTCCATGACTGGTTCTCGTCTACCGGTGACGTTGAGCTTGGAGAAAGTACTTCTTGCCGATAATCGATTGAACGATGACGCTTTTCACGCCATTGCACCTTTGACCAAGTTGAAAGTTTTGAACTTGAGTTTCAACGAAATATTTGAAATCCCGCCATACACCTTGTCTCAAGTGACGTCTTTGGAAGAGCTTTATCTCTCAGGTAACAAACTCACTTCACTCCCTTCGGAAGACCTGGAGAAATTGCAAAATCTTCAAGTGCTTTACCTCAACGGTAACAAACTACAAACTCTTCCCTCCGAGCTTGGTGCGATAAAGACTTTGAAACATCTAGATGTGGGGAGTAACGTTCTCAAGTATAACATTGCCAATTGGCCCTACGATTGGAACTGGAATTGGAACACTTCTCTGAGATATCTAAATCTTTCAGGTAACAAGAGGCTCGAGATCAAACCGACTTCAGCTCAGGATATGTCTCATGCCACAACACTTCGAAAAGAATTATCAGACTTTACCGCCCTCACCGAGTTGCGCGTGTTGGGGTTGATGGATGTCACTCTTCGTATTCCTTCTTTACCAGATGAAAGCGAGGCTAAACGTGTCCGAACCTCATTCTCCGATATCAACAACATGGCTTATGGTATATCCGACATGCTTGGGAGTATAGATCATTTGGCCATGTTCGATCTTGTCGTTCCTAATTTCCGAGGCAGGGAGAACGAATGTCTTTTTGGAATGTTTGGAAGATCCGCCCCTGTCGTTCCATCTGGCAAAATCCCTAAATATCTTCAAGAGAATTTCGCAGAGCAACTCAGCGTTCAATTGGACAGTCTCTCGAGTAGTGAAGAACCTTCGACTGCACTTAGAAGAACTTTCTTGTTCTCCGATCGTAAAGTCTACGATTATCTGGTATCTGGTGTTACAAACTCGCAACGTAAACAATCTACAGTATCGATGACTCCTTCCGACCACTTGAGCAATTCATGGAATACTCCTTCTGGTCTGGATCAACCTTGGGCACCAGCCGTCGGGTCGGTCTTTCGAACAGGTGCTACAGGAGCTGTCGTCTATCTCATCGATAAAACCCTTCACGTGGGAAATATCGGTGATATGCTCGTGGTCATTTCACGTAAAGGTGAAGCAGAGTTATTGTCCAAACCTCACGTCCCGACAGATCGTGAGGAAACCGCGAGGATCAGGAATGCTGAAGCTTGGGTTTGTACACGAGGTTATGTCAACAGTGATAAAGAGATGGACGTCTCACGAGCTTGGGGGTATTGGTCACATTTCCCAGCTGTCAATGCCGCACCTGAAATACGTACTCGCGTTTTGGCGGAATCAGACGAATTTGTCATTATCGGTAATCATGCCCTATGGCAATGTTGTTCGTATCAGACGGCTGTGGATATCGCTCGGACTGAACGAGATGATCCTATGATGGCCGCTCAAAAGTTGCGGGATTTCGCCATCTCTTACGGTGCAGATGGGAGTGTCATGGTTATGGTCGTCAATGTTTCCGATCTGTTCTTTAGCAAAAGTAGGCCTCGAGGTGGGGGATCTGGATCTCAAGTCCCTGCCGATGGAGGAGAAGCGTATTTCGCAGGATTGAAACGAAACATACGTCGAAGATATGAAGAAGTTGGAGATAGAACTCTGAATCGATTACAACAAGAAATCGAACCTCCAACTGGACAAGTAGCCATTGTTTTCACTGATATTGTCAATTCCACACATTTATGGGAAACCAATCCTGGAATGCCGACGGCAATCAAAATGCACCATAATCTAATGAGAAGACAATTACGTTTGGATGAAGGATACGAAGTGAAAACTGAAGGAGATTCATTCATGGTTTCATTCCAAACCATCACCGCTGCTTTACTCTGGTGTTTCAATTGTCAACTTGGATTATTATCACAAGAATGGCCAAGAGAATTATTAGAATGTCCGGATGGTGGAATCATTTACGATTCTGAAGGTAACATCGTTCATCGTGGTTTACGTGTACGTATGGGAGTACATTGGGGTCAACCTCAATGTGAAAGAGATCCAATAACTCGTCGAATGGATTATTACGGTCCTATGGTCAATCGAGCTGCAAGAATAAACGCAAGTGCTGATGGAGGTCAACTCATGGCAAGTCAAGATGTCATCAATGAAATCGAACTCATGAGAGAATATCTTGATTCTCTCGATGAGACCGCATTGGAAGATATGCCACATGAATTGAAAAGGGAATTACAAGAATTACGTAGGATAGGTGTTGAATCTAGAGATATGGGAGAAAGGAAATTAAAAGGTTTAGAAGTACCTGAAAGACTTTATTTATTATATCCTAAAGTCTTAGTTGGAAGATTAGAACTGTCTAGTGATTTAAGAGCTTCAGTGGAAGTTGGTGATCATAGACCTTTGGCACCTACAAGACAAATTGATATTGATCAAGTTAGACAATTATCTTTGATAGTTTTAAGACTTGAAAATTTAAGTTCATTAGGTTCTACAACAACTTCTCTTCAATCTTCTTCAACCAATCAACTTTCTTCTTCCACTCCTGCTTCCGCGACTTTGACAGGACAAGAAGTACAAAACCTGAATTCGGCAAATGTGTCTATATTTTCACCGTGGATCAATACTCCTTCAGGACCTTCGGGAATTACAGGAATCACAGGTTCTTCATTAAATCAATCAATAGATCCTCTTTCTCCAACTTCAAGACCTCTCATAAGTCCATTGATACCACCGACATCCCCAAGACAATCTATCAACCCAATAGCTTATCCAATTTCACCAAGGATGACAATGTCCAATATGTCAGGTATGTCAGGATCGGTTTTATCGACAATGTCAAACCTTCATAATGGTTTCATAGCGAATGGAGAGGGTGAAACCATAGGATCAGGGACAGGTGTAGGTGTTAACACGAAGCCGAATGGATCAAGTGGTGGAATGGCGATAGGAACAGAAATTCAAAGATGGAAATTAAAACCTCCCGTTGCCCATTTAGGTCCACAGATTCGAGAAGAAATGACGGATGAGGAATTATGTTTAGTGGTTGAATCTCTTGTGACAAGGGCGGAAAATTGTTTGTCTACTCTGGTTAGTCTTCTTCATTGATTTCCTTCTTTTTCCACGATCTCTTTCCTTTCCTCCCTCCTCTCTCCCTTCTCCACTGTCGGAGCTCCAGAGTCTTGAGACATCGCTCCGTCTCTCTTCGGTCCAGAGAACATGAGTCGTGGACATGATTCCCTTTCTTCCTCCGAACAGATTTCATGGGTCCTGGACGTCATCCCTCTCTTCCTTGAAACAGATATGATGGGTCCTGGACATCTTCCCTCTCTTCCTTTGAACAGAGATCATGAGTTGTGGACATTTTCACTTCTCTCCTCCATCCAGATCTCTTGGGCCGTGTATATTTTCCAGTCGCATAGACTACGTAGATGACGCTGACAAAATAGTATTTGAAAAATCTCGGAGGGTTCGGAGGTGTGATGGCTGCTCTGGAACAAGCTACTAGGATTGATAAAAAGTTGTTAGTACATGCCATGTCGCTCATGAGCGGGGCCATGTGAGGGGGTGTTGGCATGGTGTTGGCATGGTGTTGGTGTGGTGTTTCAGGGGTTGACTCAGAGATTGAAAGAAAATTAGAGTGTCGGAGGAGATGGAAATTTGGATTTTGAAAGATGAAAGGAGAAAAGTAGATTATTCTTGCATTTTGTTGTCAATTCATACAATGATCAGTGATGCAGTGCGTGCTAGTGTCGAACGTATGAGTATACTCATCAAAATATCATCTTCATCTTCCCTTCCAAGTGATGTGGCAGTAATACAAATCCAAACTTGTAGCATTTCATAAATGTAGTCGTCAAGCTATTCTACTGTGTCTAAATAATCGTCAAGTCGTGTCACATCTTTTTTACATTAGTTACATTATACACCATATCTCTTCTCATCTCATCATGTCATGTCATCATATCTCACTCAACAAACGACCAATCTCAAACTCCCCAACCTCTCAGCATGTCTCTCAAACTCCCCTAACTTCCTTTCGAACCCTTCCACTTCTTTTTGAAGTATATCACCCACTTTATCACCTTTCAAACCCCTTTCGACCCTTTCTCTATCATACCCTTCTACGATATCCCAAGCTTTATTCTCCCCAAATTCTCTCTCCCTCAATCCTTCAACACCAGCTTTAACACCTCTTAATTGACGTTGTATCGTTCCGTGTATCGACCCGGTTAACGAGAGAGTTTCAGATAAAGAGTTTAGTGAACTGAGGAGTGATATTGTATCCGATAATAAAAGTTGGGTTTGGAATGGGAGTCCTTCTTTTGATTGAGGATAAGAAGTAGAAGTAGAATGTCGGTTTGATGTTGAGTCGTGTCGAATAGATGATGATTGATTAGGGAAAGTTGTTGATTGAGGGAAAGTAGAAGAAGGTCTAGTAGGAGAAAAAGGTCTTTGATTTTCTTCCTCTGTCATTTCGAATGGATCAAAATCTTTATGTTCTTCCATAGGTATTTCATTATCATGATCATTGTCGTAATTATGATTATGATTATGATTATGATCATGATTATGATTATGATTTTGATCCATGATACCATTGGGATATCTTGATTCGATATAATCATCAATCTGAGGAGTTATAAGTGCACCTTCAGTAGGATGTACCAAATAAGGTAAACTTGTAGAATCAATTAATTCTAAATTGATTTTAAAACCTTTTGTTTCACCTGTCCAACCTATCAAATCCAAATCCGAATCTTTCTTCTCTTCCGTCTCCGTCCAGATATCTGATAAGAAATCTATCAAATTTATATCTATTTGATCCCATCGGATTTGACTTAAGATTCTTTCGAAATTATTCAATTCTCTTAAATGTTCTTCTGCTCGACGTTCACTTTCGTGCATTTTTGTTAAATGATCATGTAGTAAATTTTCCATATTTTTTAGAATCTTGCTGTTTTTCTCTCCTTTCAAACCTTGAACTGCTACTCCTGATTCAACTCCGAGTTCTTGCAGCCCTGTAATCAGGTCGACCGGGGAATCTTTTGATGTTTCCTCCTTTGGAATTTGATCTTCTGATTTGGATAATTTAGGACGAAAGGTGTTGTCAACGTTACGAAGTTGCATTGAGAGTTTCTGAGTTTGTGCTAGAGTTTCAGATAAGATTATTAATGCTTGACCTTGACCATAGTTTTCTTCCTCTATGATAGGTTGTATATCCCTTGATGTCATATGGTCCGAAGGGATAATCCCAAAAGTTTCGTTCTCATGGAAAGCGTCGGCAAATGGAACATCATCATCGTGCTTGAGATTGGGCATTCTCAAATCAACATTCGGAGGATTATCGAGATCCATCTCTGAGCCTAAGTCGAGGTTATGGTCGTGGTTTTGACTGTGGTTCTGGTTCTGGTTGAGGTTATGTCTCGATTGAACATTCCGAAGATCCCGAGGATATCTCAGAGGAGTAACATGATGAAAACCTGATAAATCATCCTCATTTGACGTTTGTTTCAAAGTACGTAAAGCACCGATAGACTTTTCATTCCTTACTTTTCGTATTGGTGTCGTATGGGTAGATTTCAATCTTTGAGAAGGGGTGGGTGGAAGATGAGATTGTGGGTTGTTATACATGGGATCTGATTGTCAATTTTAAAGTCAAGGTCTTACATATTGTTCATTTTGTCCAATTCGTCACTTGAGCCCGGTCTACATTGAATAAGATGGGGGATTCGGATCTGTAGGGCTTTTGATAGATCACGAGGATTGGAAGAAAACCACGGTTACTAGTGATGAAAAAAAAAATTCCAATACAGTAATGAAAGGAATTATGTGATTCTTAACTCAAGCTACGTGTAGTGAGTGTTTAGAAGAAAAATACAGAAGAGGGATAATACGATTACGATGGATTATCAGGTAACTAGTAGTAAAGAGGAAAAAAGAAACCAACCTGATTCCTCATTCTCCATCTCCATCTCTTTCGCCAATTCATCTTCTAACCATTGCACATCACCCGAATGATCGAACCCTCCGTCGGCACCTGCCAACTCATCCGCTAGACTTAGACTCATCGTTTGTTCGTGGGTTTTCGAGGCTGCAGGGTGTGTCTAGTGTGTCTGATATCTTTGGTGCGTCTGGTGTGTCTAGGTTGTTTGGTGAGTCTGGTGTGTTGGGGGGTCTGAGGTGTTTAATGAGTGTAGTGCGTCTGGGGTGTTTAGTGAGTATAGTGTATCTAGTGAATCTGAAGTGTTTGGTGAGTTTGGTGTATCTGGTGGTCAAGTCGCAATGTGCAAAGAATACCAATATGGTGTATACTGGGAAGATGTCGAGTCTGATGAATCAAGTGGGGGTATTCCCAGCGTCCTTTGAGTAAATCGTGGGTGGTAAACGACGTGGTGCTGTTGAATAGCTTGATTGCTTGATTGCTTGATTGGAACACAGTCGGTCGGGGATTGATGATAGTCAAGATACAGAGCTCAAGACATGAAAAGTTGTGTATGAGTCAAGATACAGAGATGAAACAATGGAATGCAGCATGCAGTACTCAGTAACTCAGTGGTGCAGGACCGGTGCACGTGGTCATTCAAGGGGGGATAATTTGTTTCATTCCAACTACTGCACACAAGTCAAACGGAAAAAGGTGAGAAAAAGATCACAAACACTACTACTACTACTACTACCTATCACTATCAATTTGATTCTATCTCCTCATCTCCTCATCTTCTAAACCTCCCACCAACTTCTTTTTTTCATCTACTAATTCATCTGATTTGTGATCCATAAGAGCGACTTGGGGAAAAGTGATTGGGAACCGAATGAATGTTACACCGACTTCGTACATTTATTCTCCTACTTCCACAGGGGTATCTCTCCCCTCCGGTGCGATATCGCGAAAAGAAAAGTGTTGATGATTCTTATTGTGATATTGAGATGTTGATTCTGGGTTTGGGTTTGTATTGTGTTGGGATTTGGGGTGGACGACGCAGGTTTTCCTATCTGGATTTGGTGCGGGGATAAGGTGAGAATGGGAAAGGGGAAGGGACTGAGGAGTGGATATGAAACGGGTAGATCGGCTTGGGTAGAGGTGGGTGAACTGAGACAAGATGGGGGTTATGTGGGATATACTGAGCAGGAAGGGGGGAGGGGATGAGATCAGACATGTATGGCTGCTGAAGGTAGTGGTGAGTCAGTGGGAGGGGGTTAGAGGGAGGTGTCACAAGATTCTGAATCCGATTTGTGTTGATAATGGAAAAAGGTCTAAGCCTCGGGGTCGGCCTTGCCTCTGACGCGGAATTGGGCGAAGACGGGGATATGGCTGAAAGATCAGCGATACTCAGGCGAGGACAAGCACGAGCATGTGTGAGAAGGAGCCAGACGGAAGTATGTGGTAAGAGCAAGGGACGGAGGTATATGGAGAAAGTAAGGGACGAAGGTATGTAAGGATAGTAAGGGGCGAAGGTATGTGAGGATGGTAAGCGAACGTTTGTGTCAGAAGCAAGGGATGACGGTACGGAAAAGTTAAGGAATACGGTTGGAGAGGAAGAGACAGAAGATCGAGAAGCGAATACAAGAAAAACACTCACTCAGATGGGAAATGAGCATTAGGAAACCCAACGACTTTATCCAAATAACCTCTATCCACATCACCCAAAACACTAGTAACTTTCAAACTCCTCTGAGAATAAAAGATGTAATCAATAGCAGCGTCAAAAGTAGGTGTATAATTTGTCATTCTCATTTCTCCAAAACTAGCACATGAACTCCTCAATCCCAACCTATGTCGTAGTCCTTTATTCGTATATTGACCATATAACCTCGACATGAAATCTTCGTGGTCAGGTGGGATGGTTCCGGTAGTTAAGAAATCGTATACTGCCGAACCTGCCAAAGAATTGAGATCTGTGCAAAGTATGAGAGGTATATCTCTCCCTTTTTCTCTCGTATCGTATTTGTGCGGTTTACCATTATTATATTCAAGATCAACTTCGAGTTTGGCAGGTAATCTTGAAAAACGTTCGACAATCTTTTCCAATTCTTCCAATAACATACCGACTTGTACTAATTTGACATCCCTGTATCGATGATCCCAGTAAATATGAGAGTTTGCAACTAAAAGTCTTGCTCCAGAAGCACGGAATTCTAATTCGGTGACATTGGCAATGTTATCTCTTGACATGACTCGGTTGAACATGTCATCCGTACGCATGTCGTGTTTTTGTAAAGCTACCTGATTAAACTCTACCACTTGCGTTTCGATCAGAGAGAATGTGGAATTTTTCCAAAATGTCGCACATCCGTCCACCTGCTTGGCTTCTTCAGCCGCCATGGTTCGTGCACGAGAACGTGAAAAGTGTGAACCTTCGTAGCCATGTTGCTGAAGCTCAGGTAGGAAAAAGTCGGAAAATTGTTCGTGGTCACATTCTTGCAAACAGACCACATCCGCAGCAGCGTTCACAATCTCTGCCAATATGGTTTGTTTCCGGAAACCCCAGTCGAGCGCCCATGCCGGAGTGTAGGAGTATGAAGATCCAGGAGCGAAGTGATGACACAAGATGTTGTATGATAACACGGTGAACGTTTCCTGTTTCCCTGTACCGATTTCTGCTATATCATCTTCGACAGGTATCCACAGTCGTTCCGGTGGAGCGGGAGGCAGTGGGCATGTATCGCGTAAAAATTCAATCAACCCCGTTGTGCCTTCTTCTGCCAACAACTTCCGAAATTGGTCTTTCATTGGGTTACCATCGATACCGAGCGTTTCCAGCTGATACAAGGACCCAAGTTCGAACGGTAGGGTCGTAAGGTGATTATCGAAAAGCAAAAGATCTTTGAGCTTGCACAATACACCCAGTTCCGGAGGAAGGGTGGTGAGCTCGTTCGAAGTGGCGTCGAGGATGGTGAGTGAACGAAGGTTTGAGATGGCAGGAGGAAGCACAGTGATGGCATTGTGATTGATATATAAGGCGGTGATGTGAGAGAATGAGAATAAAGATTTCGATAAGGTTTTCAGACGTATTCCACCAAGATCCAATCCTGTCCAAGGTTCTGGAGCTTGATCCTCCTCTTTCGTCGGTGCAGGAGGCTGAGCTGGAGTAGCCGGGTCGGCGTTGTCCACCGTCGCCGTCATTGAGCTCTCACTTGGGGGTGGAGGTGAACGCATCCGATCCGCAGTGGAAGCCATGGACAAAGCATTCTTCTTATGAAATCCATTGGTGATGTTGGAAGCGGCGGAGGGAGGTCGGTTGTTAGGGTCAGATATGGTCACTGTTGAAGATTTGTTATTGGATCTGGATACTTGAGCGGCTGATCTCGCTCGATGGTGAGGTGCAGAGGCGAGTCTCGAAGCCTGCGAGTAAGCATCGGATCCATCACACCCATCGAAGCCAAGGGATGAGTAATGATAAAATGTATGATCCAGAGGTATGCCTCCATGGTATGGCGCCGGATGGTCATACAGGGAGTGAATGACAAAGGAACCTTCTAGAGATATCAGACGAAAGACTCACATCCGCTCTCATCAATTGATGTTGCCAATAATGAGTCATTGGCATTTGTTGTTCTCCAGGTTGTCTCGGTGGACTTCCTTGACCATTCTGAACTCCATTTCCATACATCCCCATCCCATATCCATTCCCCGGATGCATCCCCATTCCTCCCGTTGTCTGTTGAGCGAGATGCATACCTCCAGCGCCGAACGAAGGATGATGGGATGTTTGACCGGTGTGATGTTGGTGTAAGGGATGAGCGTGAGTATGGGAAGTATGAACTTGATGATGAGGTGGGTTAGGAGGTGGACCGAAAACACCAAGACCGTTTGGGAAACCATTTTGGGAAGGAAGAGGCATGGATGGGGTAAAAACGGTAGGATGACGACCCCATCCTGGTCCAGCACCATTAGGCCCACCATCGTGTTTGGTCGGACCTACGGCTGACGAGCTGGCGCCTGCCTGATGGTGATAATACATGCGGTGTGGGTACTGCGAGTTAGACATGTTTTTCCCTTCCTTCCTACTGATGAAACAAATCTTTCCTCGAGAGGATTGACCTGTTATCCAACTGAACTGAAACGAGTGGAGTACTACAAGTTTCAACCGTTTTGTCGAATGATTGTCCATGTGAATGTATATGAAAGGAATGAATGAGGAATGGGATATAAAGTAGAGAAAAGGAATGAAACCAATAAACGTAAAGGACGTCATAACACAAAGTGTTCATATAGACATATAGATAATTCCTTCAAAGTCCACGCGGAAAGGCTCTACACACACCAAAATGATGAACGAGACAGAGAGGATGACTAGTACTCACTCGTATCTATATTAAAAGATGTTTGTAGTGACTTGATAACCTTCTTACCAGAAGAGTTTAACAAATAAGGTGGACGACGTCGAAGTATCCGGTCCAACTCCGACATCTGCGTTACGAAATAAGTCCTTAAAGACGTGAATGACAGAGAAGTCAATAGGTTCTTGACTATCTTTGTCTATGTTTTCCTTTCACGTCTTTGTCAGATGATTCGCGTTTATCCTTTACAAAAGTCGATAGTCGCGTGAAGGGTCGATATGTGTGATGATCGGAGGTTTGAAAGACGAGGATGAATCGACGGGAGGATGTTGAGTAATAGGTGACCTTGGAGGTAAAGAAGGATGATCGAGGGATGACTCAAAAACAAAGAAGATATAGGATTGTCAAGATTCAAAAAGAAATGACAAGGGTTCAAGCTAGGTATAGAATTGTTGTGATTGTTATAAAAGGACAAAGAGGGAAGGTAGAGGATATGTGGAGAGAGAGGAGTAGAGGATAGGATGGTGGGGAGGGAGGGAGGGAGGGAACGACGACGAGTCGTCATCAAAGAGCCACTTATCATCTTTTCGGCGTTTCGGATTCGTGGCGGCGATCATATGTACACCACTTTGTGCACAGACAATAGCAACTACTCATCTAACTTACCCCTTGTTACCTTGCCACTGGCGACTCAAGTGCCTATGCATGATGCATTGTTGTTGTTCACTGTCAAAACACATGGGGGACATAGGGGGTAACATGACACTTGAAAATGCATATTCAATTTGCACATTGTTCAGATTGGTTGGATGATACATCTTACCCCCTTGTCCCACCTACCCCTCACGTCTTATTCTTAATCTTACCAAATCACCATGTTCCCGGAAATATTTCACAATTCAGATCCAACCCATCATCTTTCCCACTTCTCTTCCTCAACGTAACCGGACAAAAGGGCTCAGCCCCTCAGATGTCTCATTCACAGCAAGTTTGATCTCCCCTTTACTCTTCTGAAATGCGTTCCAAAATCGAAGTGTCTCGTCTCCTGCCCCAGTGACGATTGTCTGACCATCAGGGCTCATGGCGAGGTACAACACTCGGAACGTGTGACCTGTCAGAGTAGCGATTTGAGTCATGGATGGGTATCGCCAGATATGTATTTGATTTTGAACAGGACCGGCAGAATATCCATGAGTGGAGACTAGTTCATTGGAATTTCTAGACCACATGAGATTGCAAACCTGTCTAGATCAGCTTTTGCGACAAGACTGAGTAGCTGAGAAACTCACTTGTGACCCGGTATCCCATTCACTGACCAGACCTCCAGTCAGACTGTTCCAGAACCTAATCTTTTTATCCGCCGTACCACCCCCACTCGCAAGTACACCACGTTGATGAGGACTCCAAGCGATAGCTTTGACAGCCGCTCGATGCTCCCCAAATCGCCAAGTCGGTCGAGAGTCGGTACCTCCCCAAACGAACAGTTTATTGTCATTCCCTCCGCTTGCCAATTGATCTGTATCATTGTTCCATCTCAAACCACAGACTTCTTGCTTGTGATGTCCAGCTAGCTTGCGGATATATTGCTCTGGTACCCTCGTGTCTCGATGAAGAATTGTACGATCTCTAGAACCAGAAGAGAGGATGTGGTTGTTCCAAGCCAGACAACCGACCCGACCAGTGTGACCAGACATCGTTCGAATCTTCCGACAAGCTTCAGCGTCCCATATTTCTACCACTCCCCTGTTGGTGCCCAGTGCCATGATACTTCCCTGGCTCGTCAGCTGGTGGACGTGAGACGGAACGGAGAAATGCTGACCCTATTGGTCCATTCGAGCCCAGTGATAGTATCGCTCACTTCTTGTCCATCAGGGATAGGCGTGTTAAGATCACACAGTTTGGTCACCTTGCTCGTCGAAGCACTCCACAGATATACGCAGGAATTCAGGCCCACTCCCAGGACATTGGATGCGGACCAGGAGACCAGATTCAGATAAAAATCGTCCTGTCCATCAGTCATGTTCACTCACTCAGTACAGATGCTCACGGCTAGTTCGGGCGCATCCAGTACTTTGAAAGGTGTTCTGGATATTTGCCGGACCGGTTTACGAGGACTGAGTAAGACCCTTTGACTCTCACTTCCCACAGGACTGAGACTATACTTCTCATGTCTCATATCATCTAAGTCTCCCACCACCGCCCCATTGACACTATTGATCCCATTCGTCAACGCTGCCATCCGCATAGCACCAGGTGAAGAAAAGTTCAGTAGTCGCTTCTTCGTCGGTGTGGCGGGTGACGGTACACCATTCGCAGGAGGGGGTGAGAATGCAGCTTTACGAGCAGCGGATTGAGGGGGTGAAGTACCACTCCGTGAACCTGAAGTTAGAGCCACTTGACTTTGATGCGCTCGATGGTGAGAAGATGATGGTCCGGCTCCAGGCGGACGACCGTGGCCAGAGGTGGGAGTGGAAGGGGCGTGCATAGGTAAGGGAGGTAATGTTGATGCTGGAGATAATTCCCGTTCTCCTCTTTCTCGCTCGGCGGAAGTGGATGACATGGCTGGAGGTGGGTGATGATGGGTTGGAGTGACACCGGCGGATGAGATGGCATATCCGGAAGGAGCGATGGGTATGTTGGTAGCGTGGAAGGTCATGGGTTGACGGAGATGAGCATGACGGGGATGAATTCCTCGTTGAGGGTTCTGTGTGGGTGAAGCGGTACGAGAGGGAGAGCGAGAAGGTGGGAAGAGTTCAGTCTTGAGTAGATGTGTGAAGGTTGCGTTGATCTCCTCTGCGACGTCAGCTTGATAGCACGGACAAACTAGGGCAAACTGACCTCTCCTTGCCTCGAGATCAGTTGCCTGACCATGGCCACTTCTTCTACGAGTCTTAGCTTTGACCAGGTCCCCTCCTGAAGGGCTCAAGTCAGGTAAAAGTTGGTAAGCTGCGTGAAGGTCCACCGCCTCTCTATGGGGAATGAATCTAACATCAGCATCTGTGCTCCCCATTCGTAACTTCCTCCACCACAACTCTTACTGATACTGTACCATCATATGATTGGGTGACTCTATCATGTTGATAAACTGTGATAGGGTGGATGTGCAGGGAAAACAACGCACCGATCCCCATAATACCTGACATCCGTTCTTCTTTTATCTCTTACTCCCATTGGACTATCAGTACGTGGACTAGGAGGAACAGCAGCGATTTCTCCAAATACGTCCTTATGTCCTGGAGTCGAGATGAACGGCGGTGAAGGGGGAACGGATGATCGTAGTCTACGAGAGAAATCAGTGTCGTAGACTGACATCTTCTACCTCGTGTACTATTGTCTTTTTGTTCTAGACGATCGGCGTGACCACGAGTCCACAAGGGGTTCGGGTCGTCAGCGGAAAGAAGACAACTGTACGACGGTCGGAAGTGTCAGGACTATCGGATGGGGAGATCCAAGGGGTTAGAAAAGGGGGCGTTTGAGAAAACGTTGTTGCGTCACAAAATGTTGTTCCTCCTTTTCCTCTTTTGTTTGACGACCAGGGTTTGGTTACTGAATCGGACGATATGATACTGTATTGGGACTAGACGAGTTACAGGCTGAGACGGATGGAGAAGATTAATGGTGATGAGACACTCAAAGGAATGGAGAATGTATACGGAAGAGGGCGGGTTTGACGGTTTGAGATGACCGGAGTGAGTGTGTTATGTTGGATTTTGAGATGTTTGCAAAGTTGGTAGATCGGGTGGCGATGAAATAAGAAACGAGGAGAGACCTGAACCTCGTCGTCGTGGATCGTGTATCGTGTATCAGAAAGACGCTTGTAGAGGATTGCAAGGGGTTCAGGGGGGAGAACAAAAGGAATTGAAGAGTGGACGGGGAGGGGAAGAGGTTGGTTGTTAGAGGGAAGGAGAGGAAGAAGTGAAAAGTTGCCGGATTAGGAAATTACGCTAGTGTTGGATGAGTGTGGCACCAGCGAACACTGTGTGGCTGATGGCATTGCATCCGGTTGAGATGGCGAGGCAGAGAGCTATGTATAGTTATCACTCCAGATAATACAAAGTACTGCATACTGTACTGCTCATCATCTCGTGAGTATGTGGAATTTCAACTTCTCAATCCCCTCACGCATCATTGTCCTGAAGCAATGAACGATTGAGGATGATCAAATGAGCAGAGAGATGGTCACAAGTGAGCTTGAACGTAGGATGTCCGACATCTCGAAAGTATGTAGAAGCTTTTGGTATCGACGAATCGTATGGTCCCCTGATACCTAACTCCGGGAATCCTCACAATTGCCCGGAAAGAGATGAGTAGTAAAGGACGTCAATGCGAACTGAAGTTTGGTACATGGAACTCCAAGTATGGGTCGTTGATCGCATGCTACACTCCTGGTTGGGAAGCGCACACGGTACGTGACAAGCAAGACATCATTTCGAAGGTAGTACTTAGCATACAATATGCAGCAGCATGCTAGCAGCAAGAGCTTGAGCAGGATAGCAGGATGACCAAAATAGTCGGGCAACTTACCCACAAGCATTCACCTACGCGATCAGGAGCAGCGGTCCGAGTTCAAGTCAAGTTCCTCTACCGACCACGTTACCATGTTACTGCAAGTGGCCAGATGTGTGAGCTACGAGCGGGAACGTTCTAGATCAAGTTGATAGGAGCTAGACGACTGAGCATGTTAGATCGTATTGGGCTTGTCCGAGATCAACGCACCCCCGTTTTTGAGCTATTCGAACGCATGTGTACAATATGCTTCCATACTCTACGACGTGGAGGCATTGCGGTATGCGGTAAGACCTCTCCAGTTTAGGGCCGTGGCGACTCGGCTCGGCTCATGCTCAAGCAGACGCCATGGCACCGAAATCCTAGATCCTACACGATCAGACTTGCCGCAGTCAAACGCCACTGATGCGGGAAACGGGATGTTAGAAGAAATCCGGGTCGTGGGGTCACTTGATCTTTTTCGGAGGTTCGGGATGTTATCGACCATGTGAAACATCCGACCGGTCTTTTTGTTAAGGTAAGGGGCTCTCGCAGTGTATTGAAAAATGTCCCGAGCCGGGAACCGGAAACCGAACGGATGTCATCGAATCTGTGATCTGTGAAAAAGATTGAAAAATGTCAGGTAAGAAATGATGATTGATCGAAGGATCGAAGGGCATATACTTGCATGCTGTGGGTAACACCGGCTTGATTGTTCTCTCCACCCTCTTTCTCTCGCTGATAGGAGAAGAGAGATATGTGGATGAACGAGAACTTTGTCGCTTTGGCCAGATTATCTTGGCTCACTTGGCGAGAACAATGCAATGCAAGTAGGCGGAGGATGTTGAGGACAGAGGACACACAAATTTGTACTTTGTGTACCTGCGTCGTGGTCGATTCGGAACAGCCGGTTTTTCCACGGGACCGGGCCTAGTTCCCTATTTTCGTGTACCCGCACCCTACTGCGATCTCGCGGAATTGGAGAAGGAGAAATTGTGTTTAGGTACAGCCTCCAGGGAATCTCGGGGACCAAGTTTCTCCGCCCCGTCCTCCCTTCCTCTACCTCCCCAACCTCCACCACACCCCATGTAAGCAAACAATATTCTACGATCGAGAGGAGAACCTGTGGGTCTGACGCACCTGAGTCTTGATAAAACAAAATTGTGGAGCGCCTCGTAGATCACTCCCGATGTACAAGGAAATTAAAAGAATCCCCCTGTCTTGTGACGGCATAGACAGATCATCGGGTGTGAGACATTCCCCACTCAACCCTTGGTCACTCCGGTCCGAGGGAAGGAGAAGAGGAAGGAAGAAATTGATATGGTGAAGAAGTGGTGGATGAGAGTGAGGGGGGGCCTTTGGGGGTTTTCAACGGGGTATGAGCCAGTACCGCGGACCTCGGTGAAGATCAAAGAGGAACGGAGCATGAGAAGTCTCAGCACGGGGCACGGGGCACGGGTCCGGAAGCTATGGAAGACAAGAGAAGAAGCGGGGGGGAAGGGAGGGTCAGACAGGGCTTTGTTCGGATGGTGGCGGAAAAAGGTACGGTAGGTAGTACGATTACGGGTACGGGTACAGTAAGTACCAACTGGGTGGGATTGAAAGTAAGTGATGGACTGAACTGAACTGATCTCACTGGCTTTCGGTTACCGAAAACTATTGATGGCTACTCGTACCTAGACCTATTCTACCTATACCTTACCACCACCTCGCTAGTCGCTTACAGCTGATAGAGTGGTCCGTGTCACCAAATCACCAACAGCAACAACCCCTGTACTTCCTGTTACCCTGCTGCACGCTGCGTCCCGTAGTCGCCGTCCGCCTCGTGAGCACCATCATGATCTCTTGATCATCACCCCACTTGTCAACTTTTTTTCTGTCTTTCAAATCCAGTGCCCTCGTGTCAACTTTGCAACTTCTTCCTCGTTTTCATCCTTCTGTTTCTTCCTTCTCACTCATTCACCAAACTTGTTGAAGGTATTAAGCTCATCGTAATAGGCAGATTTATCATCGGTGTGAAGTACCTCTGGATTCATCTCATCAGATCTTTCCCATCTGTCTCCGATACCACTTGACGACCCGCTACGTCCCCTCGCCTCCGGCTATAGCTACCTGCCTGTGCCCTCTCCCGCCTCTCGTCACCGCCCGCAATTCAAACGTACCCATGTCTCGCCTCTAGTCTCATCATATCACATCTCGATCGTTCATATATCATTATAATCGTCGTATACGTACCGACTCGAACCTCTAGTTGACTATCACGAATTACTCCACAAATCAAGAAAGAAGCCGCCCGGTGTCCCCTCTCATCTTCCCTGAACACACAATCTTCCCACAATCTCATCTCATCTCCGTAGCCTCTTTTGGTAGGCTTCTCCCGAACGGACCGACAAGATTGACATCATCCCGAAAAGAGATCCTGATCCGCCGGCCGGGCTCAACCGTTCGGTTTAAAGTTGAGCTTTGATCGACCGCCTGCAACTTGCTCGCTTGTTGTCTCATCTTCCCCTCTTCAACTTTCCCATCTTGACCATCTGATCCCTCCTACTCTCAGCTTCTTCTCTCACACCTACCACGCCGACAATTCCGAAAGCGAGGTGTTTATCCCTCGTCACCAGGCTATTTTCCACTCGGACGGATGCTCGTGGTTGCACGGAAGGTGCCTCCAAATCATAGGCCACCAGGCGGAGTAGAAAGCGATCAAAGGACCGCATAGTGGAGGTTTGCTTGGGGTCGATTTGGTCTCCCCAAGTGGGCATAGCGTCAATAACGGATTGATAAAATCAAGGCGTCAGGAGAGAGATTCTTCAATCGTCTTTGTCGGTGGGGTGAGTACAAGGGAGAGCAACACGGCATCGGAGCTTGAAGGCGTTTCGAGTGGGGTTTAGACAAGCAAAGATCAAGCGGTGAGTTGAGATAAAAGCTTTCAATGTCTATCTCCCCGCTTTCACCACCCAATCACACCTTACCATATCCTCTTCTTTGGTCAATAAGAGAGACTCTTTCGTACTCCAGGTCGAGAGGTTGATATCTACCCATCTTTCATCCCTCCACCACTTCGTCGACGTCAATTGCCAGGAGTCGTCTGCCTGCCTTTCACCTTTGCCACTTGAACACTCTCCCTCGACGTCTTCTATCGTGTTCTTAACATCCTCTTTCTTCTCCTAATGACCATTCCTCTCTTTCCTTTGTCCGCCCCTGTAACTCCTTCTCCTTTTGGTAGAGCGCCCACACCCATTCGTCGTCCTCGATCCGCTTATGCTTGGGCTTACCCACATCAGATCACAGCGATGAATCCCATTTCCAACAAAAGACGTCGCTCTTCCTCTCCCAGTGGTCCTTCTCGTGCTCGACCTACTCTTCGATTGAGTTCACCCTCACCTCCCCACAGTAGTCGCTCAGGACGCCCACCTACCGCATCACCATCTCACCCCATCCTTCCCGCCCCTATCCCTTCTTCTTTGTCCGGTCCCAGTTCCGGCACTCCTTTCCCTTCCCCCTTTTCCAGCACGGCAGGTCCCAGTGGGTCAGGATGGCAATCCAACTGGCCCAACAGTCGTAGCATACGAAGAAGCATCGATGCTCGCAGTCCTTTAAGCGGAAGCACCAGCCCTAAGATGGAAGGCATCGATGAGGATAGCGTCGTGCTCGCCCGCGACACTTCGGGAAGGGCGCCACGTAGTATGATCGCGTGTACCAGGTGTAGACGGCAAAAGTGAGTCATTCTCCGGTCAGACACGTATGCACAAGTGACGTTTAGAATGAAATGCGATGGACCTGGTCAAGTACCCTGTCGAGGTTGTCGGCAAGCAGGTGTGCCATGTGTGTTCGAGCCTCGAACTCGACCAAAGTCCATCTCAGCTCTTCCTTCACGACCTGGACCTTTCTTCACTGGAAATCTGATTGCACCTCACGCAACTCGTCCAGGTACACCCACTGGTCCACCCTTTTATCCCAGCACTGCCGCACCTGCGCCACCTATTACCTCTCGTCCTCCAAGCGATTATGCACTCCGGCAAACAAGAGAACCTATGCCCCCTCCACCTAGCACATCTATCGGCACCCTAGCCTCGGCATATAGGGGCCCTTCTCCTCCCACCTCTGGACACAGCTCCACATCGATCTTATTACCTGCACCTCAGATCCCATATTCTTCGGGTCCTCCTCTACCTCCTCTTTCGGCTCCTCCTGCCCCACCACCTACTCTGGGGCCCACCACTGCAAATGTCGAAGGGCGTCTCCGTGCGGTCGAAATCGCCCTCCAAGACCTGGCCACTTTACGATCCTCTGTGTCATCCATACAGAGCACCTTGTCTTATCTTGTGCGACTACAGGAATCAAGTTTGTCGCAATCTCGTCCTGCTGTTCCTACCCCGCCTCCACCACCACCAGTTCCTGCTCCCTCAGTTCGAGCCAGACAACACGTTGTCTCCGTTACCGAGGAAGTGGTGGATAGTTATCGCATTCGTGCTTGGCCTATCACACCTTGGCTGGTTGGACTACGAGAAACCCGTGGGTTGCCGAGTATGGTCATGGATTATATGGGAAAACGAACTCTTGTCACTGTCAATCAACGCATGAACAAACAAGATTGCGATTTAGCGGAGGAACTAGTCCTTGCTGAAGTGTCCAGGCTCGTAGTTGAGCGTCTTGACTTGACTAGGGACGAAATCAGAGCCCTTGGAGTGTATGCGTGAGTGTTATCCTTCTCATTCAAGAGACATTTGATTGACAGACAGAACCTGGAGTAACGATACCAAACTCACATCGCTCACTATGAGCCACGCACGCAATCAAGGCTTGGACAGAGTTCTACTTACCAGAGCATCACACGATGATTGGAGAGAATGGATCTATCTCGCTATCATGGACCAGCTGTGAGTCACATATCGTCTCACTTTTGTCCCTTCACATGTCTCACTCGAATATCATCCCTTTTTATTTCGAAAGATTACGAGAAAGATAAGATAACCGTGGCGAAATCCTCGAATGCTGATAAGAAGCTGCCACATTCCAGATTACATCGCGCCCGTAACTAGAGAATCGTACGCCCCTTCTTGGCGAGACAGGCTTGGCGCTCCTACTGTGGATGACCCAGAAGTACGGGATAGGGATTACAAGTTGTTAGCTTGGTTGGAGTATGCTGAGATGTTGACGCAGAGTGAGTCGTCTCACCCATAACCCTTCTGCTCAATCGATCCCATTTTCATTGGTGTCGATTGGGCGTTTTCATCGAACTTGGCACGGGTCCGACGTGCTTTAGCGCCCCTGAATGTGAAGAACAGCTGAAAAATGTCATGGGATAATGACGAGACTGATCCCAGTCTTCTTGGCGCAACAAGCTATACGTGTGGAAGATTCAGACGACGCAATGTCCACTTCTGAAGCCACTGATCGACACGAAAGACCAGCAAGACCTCGGTCTGTCGCTTCCATGCGATCGACCCCGGTAGCCACCACTTCTGTCGCTCATGTTGTCTCTGGACCATTGCCCGGTTCGACGGGTGAGGATGGTGGGTCTGACGAGAGGAAAGCATTGGAGATTTGGCATAGGTTTGGGAGAAGGTTGGAGTCATGGGCAGAGTCCTGGTCTGCCAGAGTGGATCCGTGAGTTTTCTCTCTTTGTCGAATCGTCGCAGCCCAAGAAATTCTGAAGCTGGTCACGTCAGCCAGAGTGACCCATTTTGACACCATCCGTTGATTCATTTTGTCGAAGCAGGATAACGATCGCCGTCCTTGACCTTCCTTCTGCTTGTACGCCTTAGTGGTATTATCATCCTCTTCTTCCGCACATACCACTTTCTCATTGCTCAACGTGGTAAATATCAAAGTCGAGAAAAACTCTAAAGTTGGCGTGGATCTAGAAATAAATGGAAAAAAAAAGCTTAACTGACAATTTCAGTATCCTCGCTCTTCATCTCAATTACGCAATACTATTCACTTCCTCTCCAGCTTTTCTAGCTTCTCAAAACGTTTGGATCGATCTAGCATCTCATCATGAAGGATACGAACAACTTGAACGTGGTCGAGATGCAGCATTAGCCATCCTACATTCCATTTGTACACCCGATATAAGTCGTACCATTCCTTATTCATTTTCACTCTATAGATCTTATTTATCACTTTCAATCCTTCATCTAGTCTCTCTGACATTGGCATTACCAAGTTCTCCTATAGTTTCAAACCATAATATTTTTACTATACTTCAATCTACTTTAGATACCCTAAATAATTCACAACCTTTAGATGCGAAATTAAGAGATACATCTTCTACTTTCAATCGTTCAATCGGTACTTCAACTTCTACCGGGGGTAATTCAGGTCCAGGGTTGAAATTGACCGGTTGGTTGAATGATATAGTTGAATTAGGTTTAGAAAGAGGTGGTAAAAGTTTATTAGGTTTAGAACCTGGAAGAGAAAGTTGGAAAAGGATTATCAATTGATTGATTCATTTCTTCTCTTAAGTATTTTAATATTTATACGTACAATCCTATCAATCAGGTCTTCAGGGTGATGTGGGGGAGAAATAAGTGAGATCATACTTATATATATAGATTTATGAGGAAAAGGGGGAAACAGGAAAATTGGATATTGGATATTGGATATTGTGTTCTTGTTGGATTCGTAGGGTTTTTACAAAAAGCATAGAGCATTCTAGCATTTGCATGGATGATATTTTTTTTGAGATCACAATTCTCATTGGATCATGCACCAATTCTTCCTTAAGTCAAGTCGAGCAACCAAGTGTTATTGTCGTCCTGTCACTTCTAGTAGAGTACTTGTACAGTAGACGTATTCGTACAGTGTTCGTAGGCCTACTCGTACAGGTTGGTGCATGAGTCGAAGTCACGATCAATAGAGAAAGGGTCGTTGATGTACTTGTATGTTCGTTTCCATTCAAGTTTCAGGGATGTTGGAAATATCTCTATAAGGTAGATAGGTAGAAGAAATTCATTCTTCTTCTATGTCTTCCTTCACCTACAGACGTCCGGTAGAGTAGTGTATCGGAACAGACAAGTGTGAAGTTTATTATACGATACAACTCAGATTCATAATCAAGTAATTACAGGTATACGTATATTCCCAAGTCTACAACAACACCATTTCTATCATTCCTTTTCATCTCTCCCACAAAAAAATAAATAAATAAATAAATAAGTAAATATGTTCATTACATGTTACTATCCTTTAACAAAATTCCCGGTCCGGACAAATTATCTAATCTATCATCTCTCAAACCCTTCTACTGTCCCTGATATGTACTCGAAGTGAAGTCCAATCTCTTCATCTCCTCCTAGCACTCAAAACTTTCTTAACAGTCCTACTCCTCCCTCTTTCCACCTCCTCTTCCTCCCATCTCAACCTGACGAGCATGACCAAGCCAAAAGCCACTCCCAATATCCCAGCTGATAGAGCGAAAACAGCCGCAGTCCATTTCCCAACCGTCAAAGCGAAAAGAGTTCCGAATAATAAAGGACTTAACAAAGTAGTTCCTAATGCATGTAAAACGCTCAAAGCTCCGAATAACCTTCCAGCTTGAGAAGAATGTGGTATGAGGGCTAAAGCGAGTGAATTAGCAGCTGGAGTATCACCAGCACCGAAAGTTATCAAGAATGATAAAAGGATGTAAACACTTGGTGAAGGACCGAGAGAGAGAAGGATGAAGAAGATTATAGAGATTAACAAGGAGATACGAAGGGTGTACAGGTCTAGGATTGCTGAATGAGGTATTGGGGGTTTTTCGACTGGGATCGGAGAATGTGAGTGTGAATGTGAGGTGGAGGATGATGAGATGGAATTTGGAACGGAAGGTGTGGTATGAAGGGTGAATGATGAATCTAATGGTCCGTCTCGAGAGATTGGGAGATGAATTGGGGCGGTAAAGTGAGGCTTGATATAGTACATGATGGCTGATGTCAGCGGTCAACGTCGATTGTTTATGATGAATGTTCAAAATAGCTACTTGGAATGACGAGACTGGTCAATGTTGAGAGGAAAGGTAAAATCATAGAGAACGAGGGAAAGAGGGAGAAGAAGGGTCAGGGAAAGAAACGCTGAGACGATACTCACTGGGAATCCCGACAAGAAGGACGAAACCTCTACTGAATCCTACGAGTGACATGAACGGTCCAAGCTGGTCGTGAGCACGAGACCTCCGGGGTATGTTTCATGCGATTCGCAATTCATGACGATAGGCGATCCGTATTTATCGAAACAGTAGTCATGACACTCTATCATCTTTGTTTGTAGATAACCCAATCTTCATGATACCTTCGCGACGGCATATACCAGGGATTAAGAGATGAGAGTGAAATCATCACACGTCATGGAAAGAAAATTAACTCACTTCAGCCGACGTCCAACCATAAGTAAACAAAGCATATTGCGTCTTGACCTGTAAAACTCCCTGATCATTAATTCTCTCTCAACAGTCCCGAACAAAACCTTCACTCACATACATCATAGACATGAGAAACATTGTTCCTCCCATCAAAGTCAAGTTCCAATCTCTCCCCCTTCTTCCTTCCACTTTACGAGGAAGAAAGATGCTGAGCGGCTCCACAAACCCAGTTGCTTTCCTAAGCAATCTCTTCGTACTGCCCACCAATCTTTTCCGACGTTTCGAATGACCAGAATTGGCGAAAGATAATCTTCTTCCATCCGAGTCATTCGACGGTATCAAGAACGGATCAGATTCTGAAGCGATAGCAGGAGTTTCATCTTCCCATTCTCTCTCTTGTTCATCCCGCTGAATAGCTTGTTCTTTCGCTATGGATGCATTCTTTTTCAAGACGTTCCGTGCGTCAGAAGAAAGAGATTCAGGTAATAAAAATAGATACAGTGGGACCCAGAGAGCATGAACGCTGGCAATGATGTAGAAGGGGGACATGAGGTTGCCAGTGAGTTCGATTATGTATGTGCCGAGGACAGGTCCGATGGCGAAACCTGTCATCATGGCACCTGCTAGTCGAGCGAAGACAGCGGCACGAGAACCGTCAGCAGTGACGTCGGACGTATAAGCATGGAGAGTCGCTTGGAGGGTGGAAAAGCCACCGAGGAGACCGTCTACGATGGGTCCGAGGAGGAGTGCTCGATAGCCTCCGGGGGCGAGGTGAGGGAAAGAGGCAACGATGATGAAGGTGAGTTCGCTAGTCATCAGCGGCACATCTTGAGGTCACAGCAGCGTATGATGGGCGGAGAGTCACCGAAATCATAAGAGAATGGATAGGACTTCGAAATTAAGAGGTTGGGGCTGAGAGGGAAAAATGGACTCACTTGAACAACAGTCCACAAGTGCTGATAGCCATGACTTTGGTCCGACCGATCCGATCGGAAGTCTGACCCCAAAAACCACAAGTGAGTGCGGAGAGAGTTCCCATGGATAAAGTCAATACTGATGGTCAGTCATTGCCCCATCTACAGATTGTATCCATATATCTCCTATCTCACACTCGGGGGAGAACACACAACTACTGGACGCTTGTTGTCTCAGAGATCATCCGACCATAACCATCAAGCGGGAAAAAGGATGAGAGGTCTGTTTTATATGCATATCAGGGAATTAGCACTGAAGAATAGAAGAAAAGGCGATAACCACTGGAAAAAGCGAGTGATGAGGGGAAAACGCAATCACTTACTCATAGTCAACTTTGCGGCAGCGGCCTGTACCTTAGGATCCGCCTTACACAGCTTTGGATCTATAGCACGATAAGGAGGTCCTTGATTCCTCCTTCCAGTATCCCCAGTACCCTCTCTTTCCTTCTCCCCTGAAGATTGTTCTGGTGGTTGTCCAGATGGAGATGGACCGGGATAAGGTAACGGTTCTGTCGGTCGGATAGGTTTAACAGTCTTGGTCGTCTTTGGTACGGAAATTTCAGGTGGTGGTGAAGGATGATGAAGGTGATATTCCCACATGTCATGTTGGATTTTGAGAAACCATTTGTCTGCCGGTGACAAGTTGTCTGATTCGTCCGTCTTGATCGATCCATTCCTAAGGAACGAGGTCGAATCACTGTCTTCCGCATTTACCGGACGTTCAAGGGAAGAAGTTTCCGATCTAATTTTCTGGGACACATCTGAAGTCGTCTCGAAGATTCTCAGATATCCTGGGATGATGACGTCGTGGGTCATATGGAATGACGGAAGGTTTTCATGAGCAGAGGGTGCGAGAGGTGAGTCGAGGGAAAAGAAAAGATTTGATACTGGTTGTTGAGCTTGTTGAGGTGGATGAGCCAAACATGCTAAATCTATGAATATTTCACTCCTTGGTGCTATCCCCATCCCGACGCTCAAAGCAGCTCCAACTAAGAAAGGTAATATCCAAGTAGGTTTAGGTCTACGCCATGGTTTTCGACGTAGTATAGAACCGTCCCTAGCCGCAGCCCATTCATCTTCTTCAGTTTCTTCTCTTTCTTCATTTTCTCTTGCATTCCCATCTTCTTCCTCATCCGATGAAGAGTTACTAGATTGATGTAGAGTTTGTTGTCGTTCATCTGTCGAAAAAGATTGTTCAGAAGATGATTTCGTTTGTTTGTCTTGATTAGATTGTTTCGTTTTGTGATGAGAGTAAGATGATTCGGGTGGATGAGAAGAGGATTGAGCTTGAGAAGGGATTCCGAAATGAGTATGAGTATTGGGATGAGAATGAGAAGAAGGTGTTGATGATTGAGCTCTTTCAAATTGTTCTATCTCTTGTATACCCTCATCAGAATAACCAGGTACCAATTCTACAGTAGTTGGAATATATTCTCTATGTTGAGGATGAGGAGTGTAATGAATATGACCAATATGAGTATGTCTAGTTGTTACTTGAGGACGAGAACCATGTTGTATAGTATGAGAAAGAGGACGAGGTTGTGAATAAACTTTCATAGGTTTGTTGGAGTCGGTCATGATGGTCGATCTCGACTAAAATTGGTGAAAGATATAAGGTGGTAGGATATTGATAGACTGTTGCTGTGGGGATTAATGTAGTGTACGAGTGAAGTATGTTGATTGAATACACAGAGTGAAATGGTCAAGGAGATGAAGTCAAGGGTTCGTGTTGGGTGGCTCGAGGCTCGGCCGATGACGCAGCGAGCAGCGAGCAGTCGATACCTCGGTCGGTCGTCACAATCGGAGAGTATAACCCTCTTCAACTCTCCCTGTACACTTATGCACTCGCGATGTTGGGATAAACAAACACCGAACAAGAATCCACTACAGTAACCGGATTGAAGTAGAAGAGAGAATGATACAATGTTCTGAATGAACGATGACGACGAGTCTTTATCCGATGATCCAACTTGCTCTAAGTACTTAGTCAAAGTCTACGGTCTGTAAATCGATGAATATTTGTGGACGGAGAAGAAGTTATAAGTTTGAATGAAAGTTGAATGTTATGTACCCCGACATTATACATGCTCTATAAGCACCCACCTTTCCTACCTTTGCTATTCAAAGTAACTTTACCTTCTCTTACCTCCTTTCGTCCTCAAACGTCCCAAACCAGCAACCACACACACGGCCTTCCTCTTTGACCATGTACCCACAGGCATATACCACGTACCGACCTCATGTGAATATGTGAATATGTGAACATGTGAATTAGTCGTACTGCAAACATCGAGTGGTCAAGTGGATATCAAACCCACACTCCAATGCATGCAACTTTCTACTCTGACATGATACCATGACACCTTTAACAAAAACAAAACTCAACTCAAATCCATCCTATCATCTTTTCCCCCACCTCCTCCACTTTCCGTATCCTCCGTAACATCCCTGACCCTCGTCATCTCCTCACTTGACGGTTCAAAGGTAGAAGGTTCTTCCCGTCTGATAGTGACCCTAAGAGGTCCATTCAACATACTTCCACCTCTTGTCATAGAGACAGAGGTAGATAACAAGACTGATTCTTTGTCCACAGTCTCAAGATCAGAATCGGATCCAGCACTGAGGACAGGACTGGGTAATGGGGGTGTTCCGATAGGTGAATATAAAGGAGGTTGAGAGGGATTGGAAAAGTCGTCTAGGTCCGGATCGATATTAGGGCTTGGGGATGGTGGGTTGGAAGAATCGGGTGAAGGGAGGGAATGGTGAAGAGGGAGAGGAGTCACGTTGACAGAGGCGGATGCTGATGCTGATGCGGATTGAGCTTTAAAGTGGGAGATACCACCGATGGGTTGGGTGGTACGACGTCGGTAGAATAAGAGGTAGGCGGCTCGAGACTGCCAAGTTAGATAATCTCCATACTACCTCTCCCCGATTTCCGATTTCCGACAGTGTATGACCAACATGCCCACTGAAACCATACACGAGAACACGCCGTGAGTCGTTGAATGTGGTTTTGATAGATATAAATGAGACGAGAAGACGTCTAACAGATGGAGGATGATTGAGTGTGGTGAATATTTGAGGAAAAGCGATGATGAGTCGGCACATGTGAGGGGTTGGAATCTGACCCGACTATGACACTCACTTGAACCGCAGCTTCGTTCGCTGGAGACACCCTCGTATCATCATAATTATACCACTTCCCATCCACCCTGTTCCTACAAAAAGCGGTATAATGTCCACCGCCCATCCCTCCGAAATGGTTGTCCACGGCGTCTGTCGTCAGCACTGGTCTTTGCAACCCCTTTCCTTATAAACCACATCATCCTGACATCTCTCTGACTTATCATGAAGATCCATTCGTCCTCCTCGCGGAGCATCTTGGAAACTATCACTGTTCGAAAGTTCCATTACTGTGCCCCCGCACCCCAGTCGAGTCAAGAGACACTAAGTCTACCCCGGTGCAGAAGGAAACACTCACAAAGATCATATATCATCGGCTCATCCACACGCATTCCATACTCTTTCGCCTGTTCTGTAGAAAGGTCCAGTCGCTTGGCCACCTGACATTCCCCGATACGTTCTTCCAGATCAAGTCCGTCAATAGGAAAATGAACCATATGATCGAGCTGATCGTCAGCGCTTAGTCAGTTTTTTTATCCGATTACAACCCTCCCAAGCTGATCCCTGGACAATAGGTAAGTTAATGGCAGGGCACAGTCAAAGCCATGACCAAAAAAGAACATAGGTAGGCGAGACACACAGAAGAGAAGAAGCGAGGAAAGGGGGAAGAGGGGTAGGACAGAGAAAAGGAAACAAAGACAACCCACCTTATCTGATAATCTCCTCGAATTACCAAACCTCTTTATACAAATAACCAAAATATCCGGAGCTTTATAAATCTCTAATTTCTTCGTGGCAGCTTGATGTTTCTTACATTGAGGACAATACCATAAATCATCTTGACCTAAAGTTTCCTCTTTACTAAATTCATCAAGACAATCTTCTATACCTATATTCTTACCAGCCTTTCTCTTTTCCGCTTCTTTTTGAATTTGAGGATCGATGATTTCTTCAGGTTTAAAAGCAGTATCAAAATATTCGTTGAATCGTTTATGTGTCCATTCACAGAAAATCCCTTCTCCGGGTCTTACCACCAAAGGTGTTGTAGGTGTTGAAGGTGGAGAATGTTCATCATCTGAATTATAACCTGGATTAACGAAAGAATTTATACCAGAAGTCAATCTACCAAACATATTTTTCTTTGGTTTTTTACGATGTTCCAATATAGACCATTCTGTTGATGCTGCAGAGACCGTTTGTTTGTAGAATGGAACAATTTCGGCTTTACCTTTGAATAATGTAAATCCGTTATTTTTATCACTAGATGAAGCGTCCGCCACGTGAACTTGGAATAAATCGCCACGGGGTACGAGAGAACGTGAAGAAGCTAAACTACGAAGGGAGGCTGTACTATCATTGGTACGAATACTTTCTGTACTATTCCCATTTTGAGTGTTCACCGTTTGGATGTCTGACGCTTGAGAGATCGTTCCTTGAGAAGATGGAGGGAGAGTGACTGATGATGTCATTTCAGTATCGGAAAAATCAGTGGATGAAGTGTTCACTTCTACCACACGAGTTTGTGAACCGTCCAAATGTATTTCGGTTATTGTTCCATCTTCTTCGACAACTGGAGGAACGACCGCATGGGAAGAATTTGGTGACACCCATAGAGAAGTTTTCATCTCCGGTCGAACGAATTGTGAATATCCACGTGCGATCGCATCCCGAACAGCGACAGGATCGGTAGCTTCTACTCTATTGAGAGTGATGAAAAAAGGTTGCAAACTACATTCTGAAGGCAAGTCGCGATGTGATCGTCCACCTTCAGATCGGTAGGTGTAAACAGGTACAGTAATGGTGGATGTCTCAGAGACGGGTACACCTACACCTTTACGCGAGGCAGTGACTGGAACGGCCAATTCGTAAAAGACGCCAACATCATTCTCTTTATATTCAGAATTATGGTCGGAATCAAGCCACCAAGCGTAGACACTTCCTTTCCACAGATCGAACGCTACCAGCTAGAAATGAGTTTGAATGACACTGATTGAAAGCAGGTATGTACTCACATTCGAGGGACTGCATTTAACCAGCTGACCCAGCTTCTCTTTCACTTGCATGAAGGAAGCGTTTTGTGGTATGAGTAAACGGATGTTGATCGGAGATTGTTCCACGTCTCGGGGAATGAATAAAAGTTTAATTTGACGAGTTTGAGCAATAGGTAAAGGTACAGTGAGGTACATGAATGGATCCATCGTAATCGATTCCTACACCATCAGCTCATAAATCAAGACTTTAGAGAATGGGAGACCTTGTGACATTCTGGGCACACGAGGGTACTCTGAAGTTGTCCCTGAAACAGATCAACGATGACACTGTCATTTCTCTGCTTGTATCCCTCCCAACATTCCTTTCCCAGTTCTGCGAGCTGCACATTTCCACCACCAGGTTTCCAATCTGGTTTTTCGATATATGGTTTCTTTTTGATCCGGTTCAGATCCTCATGTAGACCATCGAGAAGGAACGCGATGAACTCTTGGGTGTCATGTTGGCCATATCCGGCGAATTGAGGAGCGAATCGAGAGGTGGTGGATTTGAGTTGTCGAGGGCTGAAAGATGCATGGGGACCAGAAAGAGTCCAGAGAGCTTCAATGACACCTCCGAACGCCTCAGCTACCTGACCATGCATACCGAGAGGGTTGTCGGGGTTGAGTTCATCCCTATACACACCAGCTGATGTATCAGCATCTGCCCATCACCTAGACATGGCTGAGAAGATAGACTCACACAAGAAATATTGCGATAATTCCTGGGTATTTGATAAACATTGTACAGCGCTATTCATGAAACATGTATTGCCGAGGTTATGCAATCCCACCAACCCCTTACCCTTAGACCGACCTTGACTGGTCTGACTTCGCGTCTGCATTCCAGTGCTTTGAGTGGATGATCCAGCTTCTGAACTCGACATAGAAGCCCCAAATCCTGGGAAAGTACTGGGTTGAGAAAACAACGGTGGGGGTGCTTTGGGGACTTGTAGAGCAAGAGGTGCAGTCGACTTAGAAACCGCTTTGCCCTCCTCGTTGACATCGACCGCCCAGAATATCGAGTTCCCCATGGGTAGTCCAAGCTCCACAGCAAAGACGTCACCATGAACGAGTCCCATCTCCTCGCATGTCAGGTTGGGCTGGGTGATGCCGTGGTTGAGCAGTTTGGCTGATAAATTCGGTAAGAGCGATGGATTTATATACAGGGTATTCGGAGGGGACACTGAGTCGCTGATCTGCGATACGTCGAGCTGCCAACACCTCACTTCCGCTCGACTGTTCTCCATGCGCACTTGATCGAGGACGACGGTGGTGAGGAACTTTTCGAAAGTTTCGATACTGAAAAAGCTCGGGCAAGTGATGCGTATGGGTTTTGCTTCAATGCCCTCTAGCTGGTTCGAAACCGTCATTCCGGGTAGGAAGTCTGTGATGTGGACGGTGTAGATGCTGGGTTTGAGTAAGATACGTCCTCCACTGGCGCAGATACGTGGTAGAGTAGGACCATCATATGGACCATACCTTATTTCGTTAGCCACGTATGCGATTATCGAACACTCACCATTCTACTAATTTACCCCAGCCTTCCGCAGAAACATAGATGAAATCATCCTGTTCCAACAATCCATCCTTCAATTGCCATATACGCGTTTTCGTGCCCTTGAACGTCATTCGTGTAGATGGACTACCGATTGTGTCATTGTATAATGTGAAAACTTCTTGTCCCTCGATGTCCTCGATCAGCTCTGTGAGGTCAATCTTGAGGTCTGATGGTGATACGGGTGACTTTGATGAAGCTGGATCACCTAAAGCTAGAGTCTGAAGAGTGTTGAAGAGTTTCTTTGGTATGATGTGATATGTTCTCGCCGTCGCATAGGGAGGTGGAAAGGAGGCTGTTACATTCGTCAGCGTCTCATCGTCTTCACTTGGGATATGACACATACCTAGTAGTTGATCATACTGTTCTTTATACTGTTTTCTGTCATAACCTTCTTCCAAATGAACCTCCTCTGTTCGTTTGACCCATTCCCCTCCCTCGCTCTCACCGTCGATAGCCCCATCGACCATGCGGAGAGGACTGCTCCCTGGTACCTGGGCGTGTTGACCGACTGGGGTGAGGTGTGACAGCCCGTTCTCGGTCCTACCAGAATCAGAAGAAGTAGCAAAAGGATCTTCTGAGGCAGCACGTTTAGGAGAGGAAGTGGAAGATGGAGAGGGAGCCTCTGTAGAGCGGGGACGCTTGAGGGTGGGGGCCGAGTTGGACATGGAGCGAGCGTGGCTCCAAAGGCTTTTGAGGAGAGACGTGGGATGTTTCGAGAAGATTCTCAACTTTAGATGGGATCTAGTGACGGGCTGGGGTGATTAGGGTATGGATACAATAACCAGTAGCTAAGAGCTGATAGCTATGGATGAGTGGGTGGATGAATAAAGAGGCAAAAGAGAAATAGGTTTATGGTGAAAAAGTGGCGTAAAAATCTCAAACCACCGTCTCACATTCCACCTCGTCATCTCCACTAGTAAGTACTTATCCTTACTCTGCTTATCATCTTCTCTCATAACTCTGCACATCGTTAACTTGTATAGGTCATGAAGACCATTCGGAATCGCTTATGCGCTAGGACTACATCACCCATTTACCAAGCGCCGCATCATATACACGAGCCAGCGATCAGCGATCGAATACGGCAGACGAAGGGGAGTCTCCCAATAATCTTCCACTGCTCCATCCGCTTGAAATCGTACTTGTATGTCAATCGGGGACTCGATACTCCTTCCATTCGTATTTCCCTCGCTATCCCTCCCGCTCTCTCTCTTAAACGCCTGCTTCAGAAGGCGGATCTCCGGACACATGGCGAGCTCTCTTTCGTTGGCGTGACGGAATTGGACTGCCCGTCATTGATCTTGACGAGTCATCGTCGGAACTCCCTGCTGATGTCAAGCTTGGAGTGGACAAGGAACGAGATCGTTTGCGCTTGGAAGACGCATCACCGTCCGTTGATATGTCAGGTCTATACCGATTCCATTCCGATCTGACCGTCTGATCCGTCATCCTAACTCGGTCATCCCGGCTCGGCGTACTGCGTACCGGCGTGTCATCTGCGTCCTCCTCGACACCGTCAGGGGTGGTAGTTGTGGGCGCTGATACGTCCGGTCGACCTTCACCAAGTCTCCTTGATGCCGATGCGTCTAAGCTGCTCCCATCAGATCCATCTGACATCGGGGCTTGTCCAGAAATCATCAACCTCACGCTGGTTCCGGAGCGCCTAGGTATAGGTCGAGTCGCTCTGCCATCCCTGGAGTTGGGGAGAGGTCTAGATCCGAGTGACATCCCTCTCATCTCCTCTGCCATACGTGTGTCCGAAAAATGGTCATTCTCCGATGATTCGTTCATCCCTCGTATCGTCGGTCAGTCCAAGTGATATCTGGTGCGCTCAACTCGCTGACTGCAAAGATCTTATATAAGAGGCGACAACAGAAGTTTCACACGATCTGTCGGCTCCCTCCTTTATCCTACGAAATTCTTCACACGTTGGAGCTCAATGCAAGACATCGTCACTCTCACCTTTGATCCCTCAATCGAAGCTGCGAGCTCCTCGAGGACATTCACTCGCAGGCGAAGCATAGATCGCATGACACCAATACATTTACATCTAATCGACAATCGTTTACTCCATCGTACTCGATGCCATCATCTGCCATGTATGTACACTCTTACTCACAAGCCAGGTTGATGCCCACTCAATCTCCATCCTCCTTAGCGGGAATGTCCTTGCTCTCGTCTGGGCTCAACTTTGCTGGACTATCGCACATATCATCTCCCCCGTCATAGCCGCCTGGGATGAACGAAGTGTTGATTGTGTGGGTGTCGTGTAACTGTGGAACTGGCTGAAGATCACTCTCCTGGGCTTCATTGTCTCCAGTCGCTGCTCTAGTTGGTTAGTCTTTTAATTCACCTGATTAATCATCTTTCCCACTGTCATTGACAGGGAGATCTCCAGAGAACCCATTGGTATCCTCTGCGGTGGGCACGGCGGTCAAGGCGTCATCTGATATTTCTATTCTATCATAAATAGCATTCATGCGCCGCCGTTTTCGAGGATCCACTGGTGGAATGATAACGATTGTCACTGTCCCTACCGGATCCCCTCCACTCGAGCCGCAGGAGTTATCGTCCCTTTAGAATAAAACCTGTCAGAAGAATGAAATGCAACGAGGATTAACTCGACTAAACGCCACCCCTATTTATAAGTATCAACTATAGCGCCGAATCTTCCCACCCTACACTGCTTTCTCCATTCATCCATCAAGCTTCTTCTCACGTCGGACTCTCACGACCGTCTAAAAGCGGTGCTATCGTTCCCCGATCTCCGCAACTCTCATCGGCTTACTCAACTTTCTCACCACATCTCCACCTCGACGTCCGGACGGATCATAACCACGCCATCCGCTCGAAAGCAGTGTTAACTCGCCGACCGATCTATACGAGAGAATGCTATGCGACGAACAAACTCCGACTCGACGTGTGTCAGCAACCTATCAAATGGATGTCATCTTTCGTCAGTGTGATCAACGAGTGCAACTCTGACGGATATGCATACTGCTGCTCTGATCTCGATCTAAACATCGGACGTCTACGAACTCGGATCGTCGTCAACATCTTTCGTTTCTTCGGAAAGCACACCAAAGAACGTGGTGGCCTCCCCAGTCCCGAGGCCAGTCGTGGTGTCCGGAGCGGCTGCACCATCTGACGGACCACTCTCAGACGCTTTCAAGACACCAGTCCACGGCGACGACACTCGAGATTGTTCCATTTCTGTCGGGCCAGATGTTGGGCTGTCCTGAGAATCATGACTTGTCTTTGTACCATCCTCAGGTTTCCGCCTCAAGGATGACGTGCCAGGCACATTAGATGTCCCGTGTTGAGTCTGAGTGGGGGACGATGGGGCAGACACTATTTGACCGGCAAGCAGTGCTATGGATGGTGCACGTTCCAGGACCCTAAATGAGCCACCCCTTCCCGGTGATGGTGTACTGGATCCGCCAGATTTGGGGGGGATTGTCACGCTAATTTTCTCATCCTGTGAATCACGTCTTGAGTCTGTTTTCGGAGACGCCTTTGAAGCCTTTTTCGAAGTCTTTGACCCTTCTCCTCCATCCTTGGTCGTTCTATATAGGACGAAGGGACCCCCACGATGGGGATCAATGTGTTCAGAATTCAACGGGAGTACGCTTGGCTGCCTGGCAGTCGGCGTCCCTGTGGACAGAACTCCCCTTGTGCCAGCCACCACGATACCTCCTTGCCGTATCCCATGACGTCTCGCCAGCGATTATCGGGCGCATCCGTAAAGGTCGTGGTACGCGGTGCGGAGGAGGCGGGACTTTCCGTGACAGGTGGAATGACAGGGGAGCTCATCTTGATGTATAGTAAGTTCATTCCTACTCCCCTGATCCAGCTTATATACCCATTCAACGCACAGCATTTTCCCGGCTTGCCGGTCAACGTCTCCGATACAACACTTCTTCTCTCCACTATCGCGCCCCATTGAAACTCCGTACGCCTAGAAAGCGGTACCTCTGAACAACGGATCGTCATCGTCATGAGACTTTCCGTCCCACTCCACTCCGTCGTACGTATGATCAGTCAATGTGAACAGGTCTCGACTCGTTCGTCGACCGGATTCCAGAACAATCTCAAAAATGACGTGCATCATCCTCTACCAACATACGAATTCCCGTTCCTTTTCCTTCGTCTGGTCTAGACCTGATCTCGACCGACTCAGCGACGATGGTCGTGGTTCTCGACCGTTCGCTCCGATTTTGGATCATCTCGCGATTGGTCGGCGGTCTTGGCCTCGGCCTCATCGTCGCCATTGTTGGAGTGCGAAACTTCCTTTTCTTGATCGGGGAAACTCATCGTCCTCAATAGTGATTGTCTCCGAACCATGGATTTCGTCCGCAACTGATTGAAAGCACAGTTCGCCTCTTCATCCGTCTCTTCCGTTGGCGAAGTCGGTTCCATCATATGTCTATAAGGCCTTTCTAATAGAGCAGACGGTGACTTGGGTGAAGTAGGTGAAGTCGACGAGACGTATTCCGGTGAAGTCGGAGAAACGAATTGTTGACCATTCCAGATTGCACCATCACCAAGCGAGAGTCGTTTTTCGTGGAAGGGGCTCGTGGGTGACCCGAAATCAGATATACCTGAAGATCGGCGAGAAGGGTAAGGTGGGAAGTAAGATTTGCCATGAGTCGGCGTCGCCGTGCCCGATGTGTTGATAGACAGACCAGACATACCGAAGGTAGACTCTTGAGCGTCTTGAGAGGCGGTGTAACGAGAGCGTTGATAGGTCGTCTGTGTGGTTGACATTCTTGTAATGGTTGGCTCTTGATGTGGGAAGAAGTCGAGTTGGAAGTTGGGGCTTGAGGGGCTGACCAGAAGAGGTGTTTTATAGACGATTGACGAGGTAGCGGGTCATGAAGATGAAATGAACAGCATGATCGAGATGAAGCGTTCCTTTTCGAACGGAGTTGATTGCTATAGAAGACATTTTCATCAGCTGTCTTCGCCGGGGAAGAACACCCGGGCCAAGTGGTATCGGTCGGAGAGACAGATGTCAAACGAGGAGTATCGAACAATGGAGTGGAATCGTCATATACAGAGTCATTGACGATCTGATTGTTTTTCTTGAGCTGGGCCTATAGGCCTAAATGACTAGGTAGCTAGGCGAAGTAGGAGAGGAGAGTAAAGTGACAAAGTCATGTAGCGAATGGATTGAAACTTGATTCAGTCATGCCAATTGATTTTTCCCAAAGCGGAAATTGCCACCAAGACCCGTTTCATCACTCACGCAAAAGTGGATAATCCCGACGGAACTCGAATTAATCCCGACGAAATTTTGCCACTTTCTCCCAAAATACGACGTTCAACTCCCATATCCCGTCACTACTGACCCAAATACCTTCACTATTAGAAAATCATCTTTCCGTGGCTTTTCTGATATCATTGGAATGCCTGACGCCTTCTGAGTCTATTCATACCATTTTCGGCACAGCTTTCGGAGTATTGACCACAGGGGCATGGGCAATGTCCCCAGCCCGAAATCCTACTTCCTTTTCGGTCCCCTTTCGGCCGAATTCGGGAGCTTTCGGTGATAGTCACATACTCACTACTGACTACCAATCTACCCAAGTGAATAGCTTCTTTCATGTATGTAAGTATGTATGTATGTTCATGTTCATGGTAATACATCCTCTGAATGCACAAAACTCTCTTAAGGATCCATCATGTTGACGTGTCTGATGGTGATGTGTTGATTGAACTTCTACTAAGTACTAACACGGGCTGACGCGATTTTCCCCCTTTTTCATTCCTTCAATTCACTTCTTCTCTTCACTTCACTTCACTTCAGCATCTTCATATCTTTTTCCAGCATACATTAGCCAGCGTTTTTCATCTGCTCTCCACTGCTCACTCTCAACTGATCTCACTGCTCATTCTGCATCTGTGTGCTTCATCTCACCTTCCGCCTTGGCTCGTCCGAATTATCTTATCATCAAAATTAGAGTCTTCCCACTCCCCCTTCCTCCCAATCTCTCTGACCTCTTTGACCTCTTTCTCAAAATGCCGAACCCCTTCGACCCAAAAACAGATAAATCCAGTGTAAACCCTCCGAAGGGTTACAAATTACACCCCGACCATGTTCACTTCCAAAAGTATCTTCAGCCACAACACCCCATTTGGAAGAATGAGAAATCACTTCGTTCTTTTCAAGCTGAGATAGGGTTCTACCTCCAGCCCTGGTGGCATGCAGAGCCGAAGTATCTTCCTCAGCTTGCTGAAAAGCTAGGACTTCGGGAAGCTACCCCGAAACAAATGAAGGAAGAGGGTATTCGGGCGATTACTAGAGGGTCACGATGTTATTCGGCGGATGAGTCGGCCACAAAGCCAAACTGTCATGTCCAGTTTTGTGTTTCGGCTTTCAATTACACGTGAGTATTGGTTTATCAAATATGGCTCCCGAATTCGGGAGAAATTAACGAAACTCAATGCTGATCTCAGACATCCCGAAGTGAAATGTGTCAATGTACCTGATGGTCGACCAGTGTTTCTCAACCGTTGGGACGAAGGAAAGTTTCGTGTCTGTGTGCACTGTTATAACTCCACAAAGCCCCCTCTCACCTGCTCCCTCAAGGGCAAGCCGACCAATTTCCTTGTCGAAGAGTCCTCCGAAAGTGAAAAACGACCGAAAAAGTCATCACAAGGTCAGGACAAGCCTGAGGACAGCTCGGATTCTGATTCGGACTCATCGGACTCTGAACATTCACCACATCCCTCCCCTCCGAAACCTCGCCGGCCAGCCACCACAACACGCTCCACAAGAGCTTCGGCTCCCAAGAAATCGGTTTCTCCCCCCCCTCCCGAAAAAGGAAAAGGAAAGGGAAAAGAAAAAGCTCCCCCTGCAGCTTCCACGGCGATCGGGTTCTCAAATGCGCCACTGCAGCAACCGGTAGGACCGAAGGACAAGCGTAGGACTGCTAGGGGAGGCACTGTCGCAGCTGGGGATGCTGCAAAACCCGGTCCGAAATGGGTTGTCAGACCTTCTCCGAAACCTCTCACCGAAGCGCCTACGTCTGCTAGAGAGCAACCTCGTTCGGAGGTGAGTTTTCTAGGTTCCGAACTGAAAGCAAGTCTCAGCAGCTGACTTTTAGGGAGAAACAGAACTGTCTTCTCCAGCTGGTCCTATTCTTGTTCAAGATTCCAGCTTGGGTCAAGATGATGGGGAAGAAGGACCTCAACCGGAACCATCTACAGCCCGAAATGAGAGGCCACGATTCCCTCCCCGCCCTCCAAAATTTGCCGATGTTGTTCCCGAAAAGGAACCCTCCGAAATCGCCCCCCCCGTTTTCTCTGCAGGTTTGCCAGCTGGGGTTTCTCCGATACTTGTCCGAAGTAGTCCTGTTCATCCTCCTGTGAACAAGCGTGCCCTGGAGGATGTAGAAGAGTCCCAGGCCGAACCGAAACGGGCTCGTCCGTTCTCCATTGAACAAGGTCCTCCCCAGCCCGAAATGGATCTTACCTCCGAAAAGGTGCCCACAATGTCCCCTGTTGGTCCTGTTCCTTCTCCTGCCGTATCTGTTCGACAACAGGCCGTTCCCTCTGCTCTAGACCCATTTATAGCACAAACACAATCGGTTTTGGGTGTTACATTGCAAGAATCACCAACAATCCCTTCGCCTCACCAAGCTAAAAGTGTCACACCGGCCCCCTTCCCCAGCCCCTCCCCTGCTCCGAAAGCAGGCCCTCCTCCAAACCTTCAACCTGGGTCTTCTTCTCTCGTCTCTGGCCCTCCCCAAATCTCCCCACTACCTACCTCACTGCATACGTTTGCAGAGGTAAAGCAGTGGCTACAGCAGAAGCGCCTGGGTCGATCAGGTGTGCAGAGTCTTCCTGGTCCAAACCCATCAACCAATGTTCCGAAACCCACGATGGCTCCGAAGCCCATAGTTCCTCCACTCTTTGCTTCCCAATCGGCTCCCCCTCAGACTCCACCTCCCACTTCTCTCATTCGTTCTCATTCAGAATTCGTTGGCTCTGGTCCCACAGCTTTGCCAGGTCAGATACCCTCCATTCCTGTCACTTCGGTCAATGTGGTCAGTAAACTCCCTCAAATGAACCCACCACTCCAGCCCGAATTTCGGACCCAAAGGCCCACTGTCCCTTCCTTGGACCAGCCTGCACCCGAAAAGGTTGTCCCTTACATCCCGGCTCCACCGTCTACCATGCCCGAAGTTGAACAGTGTCTGCATCGTATGAGTGAGTTTCAAGAGACTCAGGCTCAGTTTGAGGAGCAATTCTCTTCCCGAATGGTTGCTCAAGTTTCCGAAATGATAGACTATTACCGAGAAATCAACCGAGGACGTCATCAAGCCTTCTCCGAAAGTGTCACACAATCACTTTCGGGTGTGAGAGCTATCAATGGGACATGGAGTGAATTCAAAGCGCGGTATGACTCGGTGGTTTCTGAAAGAGATGTGGCTCAAGGAGAGGTAAAGACACTGGACCGGCTGTACAAAGAGCAGATTGATAAGAATGAGGAGAGAGATCATGCTGTTGCCCGAGTCACCGCCGAAAAGGACGCCGAAATTGCTTCAATCCGAAAGCAGTTGGAGGAGACTCAGGAAGGGCTCAAGACTATGAGCCAGAGGTTCGCTAGTGCAATGGGGGATAAGGAAAAGGAGGCTCAGGCTCGTCAGTTTGCTGAACAGCGGTGTTCAGATCTGGCCAGACAGATGGCTGAGAAGGAAAACACCGAATTGGAAACTCTCCGAGCTCGTCTTTCGGAGGCTGAAGCAGCTAAGGGAGTAATGCAACAGCAAATCGACGAGGCATTGCAGTTTGTGCAAATTACCGCTGCCCTGCAAAATGAGACTGAGATGGAGAATGTAGGGTTGAAGGAACTCAAAGCGCAGTTGGAGGGAGCAAATGAGAAGTTACGGGCGGACCTTCAAGTGGATCAAGAGGAGTGGGAATCGGCCAACTACACCATCAGGCAACTTGAGTCAGAACTCCAAGAGGCCAAACAAGAAAAGGCTCGGCAACAATTCCGCTTTGACCTTAGGACCTCCCCTGCGAAGCCGAACGAGTACTCTGACCGAAGAAGAGCTCACAGTCTTGATCTCCCTTCCACCAAGATCACCGCTCGAAACTCCGAAAATACCGCACCGAATCCCGAAAATGACCCTTCCAACTCCGAAAATGTACTTTCTTCAGGACCAACACCTCATGATGCCATTCCCACAATCCCCACAAATGCAGATCTCCATTCTTCTCAAGATTAAATGTAGCCAATCAAATCCGTGTTACAGTTCCCTTGTATGTACTGTCACTTGTTCATTTTGCCGAGTTTCCGTTTCCGTGTTTTCATTTCATGTTTCGGTCTTTCTATGTTTGGGGTCCAAATGTCTCATCTGTGTGTGAACTAGCCTGTGTAATGCATTCCATGTCTGAACTCTTCCAGCCTGGCTCATGTTGCATACATCCCTGCAAGAGATACTTCACTGTTTCTTGTGTCAGTGAGCGAGAGATCCTTGTAGTAGGATTAATTGTCCCCAAAATTCGGACCGACTTCGGACAGCCTTGACCAATTTCGGACAGTCATGGCTGCATATATCACTGCAAGAGAGCTTATGACTATCCAAATAAGCACTGGGTAGACACAATGACTAGTGACCCTAAGCAGTACAATATTGGAATACATGAGATGGTCAGATGTGCTTTCGGAGGGGTTTTCGGTGTTTCGGGAGTGCCTTCGGACTCACTTGGGAAAGATAATCAAGCCCCAATCTGCATCAAACCAAGTGTATTTTTACATCCAGAGGTATATTAGTCATTATATTCATGCACAACCAGCTGTGATACCTCTCTACAGGCGATCTATGTAGTAAGTCATGGAAGGTACAGACTTGTCCATCAATTTTTTCACTTTCGGACTGAATATAGACTCATTTGCTGGATCCCGTGCAGCCATTGCAAGCACCAGTTGAAGCACACTTGTTCGTAGTTTTCTACTCTCACCTCTAGCCAGAGTTGATGATTTCACCCCAAGCACAGAAGCAGTCGGTCTGATTCCCTGGAGAAGAAGACATGCAGCGGCACATGCTAGAGGACCACAGCTGTGTGAGTCCACTTGTGTAACCCAGTCCAGGTTATCCCTGGTAGCCTGAACGTCATTATTGAGCTTGGGAGTAGTACTGTACTCACCTGAGAATTTGGAGCAATCAACCAACCCATAGCTTCAGCCTCTGTTGCTATGCCTTTTCTGACTTCCCAGGACAAACGGCGTTCTAGCAGGCGTGACCATTGCTATTGATCAGTGACGCTGCACCTCATTGAAGTAATTTTGAATGACCAACTTACCTTCTTCTGTTCTCCCGAATCATAAGTCCCCCCTGCCCCATCATACATCAACACCAGCTTCTG